TTGATTGGCTAGAAGAATCCATAATTAAGCCTATAAAAACATCCATTCTAGATTGAGTTCCAAACGAGCTGGATCCGCAAGCACAAAAAGTGGTGTCGACGCGCGCGAACATCGATACGGTCCGGTGCGACGAGCGGCTGCACAAAGAGGCAGAGCGCACTGCCTTCCGCGAGAAGCGCAAGCGCGACCTCGACGGCCGCGTCGAGGCGCTCAAGAAGACCAAGTCGACGCCGCCAGCCATCGACCTCTTTGCGCCCGACGAAATCGCGCCGCCGCCGCCAGTCGCCAGCAACAAGAAGTACCCAGACGAAGGCATCGCCCTTGGCGGCGCGCTGAACCCGGCCCACCGCCATGTAGGCCGGCACAAGCCGCCCTCGCAGCCTTAGTATCTCCAGCAGAGCCAAGACGACAACGACGCCACCGAGGCGCCACGTGCAGCGTTCGCCGATCCCATGGCTGCAATCGTGAGCCGACCCAAGGCGCTCATGGCCACCGCCAACGATACGCGGGAAGCCGACGTCCTCGACGTCGCCGGTAACACGGCGCACACGGAGCTCAAGAAGACGAAGACAGCCAAGTCATCGTCGTCTTCCTTCAGTCGCCTGAAGCAGCGTCGACGCGAGCTCCTCGCGAACTTGCGCCTCTTCGCGGCCATTGTCTTGATTTTGGTGTACAGCGTGCCGTCTGGCATGCGATAAATACCCACGTCGTCACTTGCGACGTTGATAGTTGCCGGCACCTCGAGCGTCGTGGGGGCGCGCGACTGGATAACGTTGCTCCAAACGAGCGCTTCGTTGATACCGTTGCCAGCAATCTCGAGGAGCGTCGAAAGAGCACGCTGCGCGCTCGCGATGCAGCGCAGATCTTGGCCTCGAAGGTCACGCCTGTGAGACCCGGCTCCGCGTAAAAAGTCGTCGACGTGTTCACGCCCCGCCGACACCATCTCACCATTCTCCTCGTCGTCGTGGTCTTTGTCGTCGTTCTCGGCCGGCGGTGCAAGGTCGTCTCCCGAGACGAACCGGGCCTGGAGGTTGCAACGGCGTCCTTGCGCGCGCCGTGCACGACCAGCGGGCGGTGCAAGAGCACGAAAAGGCGCGGGAAGTGCGCAAGAAGCTCGGTCTCGTGCGTCTCGGGCGAAAGACGCGCAGGCACGATCGCGCGCAGGTTGCGGTGGAGGGAGAAACCTGCGAGCGACGGCTCATTGTAGAGGATCTCGTCAGCGTCCTCTGTCGATTGGTTAGCCGACCACGTCGTCAGCATCGAGGTGTCTGCTCCAAAGAGTCACGAATGCTATTCAGAGCTGGTCCGGAACGAGCGCGCGCATGCGTCTTCCTGGGGTCAAGCACGACGTGGTGGAGGCGATCCACAAAAAGTACCAGCAACCTCGCTCGATTCATGAAGCTTGTCAATCTGTGAGACGCAAGTGGCGTCAAAGATGTGTATTACCTTGGGCCAACCGTGAACGAGCGCTGGGTCAACGCTTTGATGAACGAGGTCCGCACGCCGTGAACCATGGGCGCGCGCGGCCACTTTAACCGCCAAGGGCTGGAAGCTCCAGTCGTCGGCGACGTCGAGCTAGAGGTTTGCGGCGGGCGGTATGTTGTCGCTGCGCCGCCAACGGCTCGGTGCATGGCGCTGGCCATCGTGTGCAAGCAGCGAGACGCTATGCGTGAGGTGTTCGAGGTTGGATCCACCAGGCTCAATGCTTCAAGATGACGCGCGCTCCGAACGCGACACGGTGCGCTTGTACTGCAGCGCCCACGTCGTCGCGGCACGTCGTCGGGTCACCTGTTTGGGAATTGCACTTGATTTTCGTGTCCGGATATTGTCCGGATACTTCGGCACGATGCAACTAGTGTGACAAGGGCCGAGGCCATCGCACATTGGCTCGACGCTGTCGCTATCCGCGTTCGTCTCGGCGAATCGACTACAGAACTCACTGCACGGTAACGTGGAGGCAATGGCCTTTCTACCACTACGGCGCCGATGGCTGCGACCAGCGCTGCATCGACGCCAACAGCCACGACCCGATTCTGAAGCGCCATCTGCGCGAGCCTCTTTTGCGCTTGTACACCTGCGCCGAGAAGGTTGCGCCGGCGCGTAATGGCTGCGACGCGGCTCATAACGTTACTGACACCATCAATCGTGCTTGGTGTGGCATCGGTGCTCGACGAAAAGCGATCGCATACTTCATGAGGGCGTAGCGATCTTTGCAAGCGCTTAGCTGGTGAGCCAATGTCCGGCATTGCATGGATGCTGGACGAAATGAACTCGGCCACACGAGCTTCACCGTCCACTGTGGACAGGACGCCCGCTTGCGACGCGGTGCCGTGCGACCGAGGCACTGTCGCGCAAATTGCAGAATGAACAGCTTCTCTTGTAAAAGAACTGCGTTTCGCCTTTGTCATGCTCGTTTTTACACTTGGTTTTACACGACTGAACGTTTGCGCGGAAATGGTACATTCTCCGAGTGCCACGGCATAGTGCAATCGAGTGTTTTCCACATTTTGCGACCTCTGGCACGATGCCACATAAATTTAAAAGCCGTCGCATACGTTGTGATAATGCATCACCGCGAGTACAGACGCCTCTCATTGTGAGCTCAAAGCCTCTCATTCCAATCGTTCGACAGGATGCGATGGCTCTGGACGGGGGAATTGCGAGAATGCTGCTATGAATCGCAATTTTGATCCAGTGAAAGGGGTTGCCACTAGTGTACACAGTGTATACACACGCGGTCATTCGTTTCTTAACGTTTAAAGAGCGCTTTGTATCTGTGGTCAAGCATTACGCGCGTTGCACGACTACAACAGTGATGTAGCATACTCTGCTCAACTCTCCAAAGCCTCTTCTATCACTGTGCCAGCTTTGAGCAACTTCATGTTGTCGACAAGGCGCGTCGGCCAAGAGTACCCTTGCGTCGGCGTCCTCGCGTGGTGCCTCCAAGATGGCACTAGGATCTTAGTTTGGATCTTGGATCGCGTCTCACTTCTCATGTACGCCTCGGACGTCGACGCGACCTCGCATTTCGTGCTCTCCACAGCCCCCTCTAACAATGTGCTTAGTCTTGGCGCTTTCATTTTGAGTGCTCTGGTTGACCGCGCGGCCCAATGATACTTTTAATCTTCGAGCCGTCGCACCACTCACTATGGTCAAAAGCTCCAGCTCGGAGGCCGCAGCATCATCGTCATTTCGTCACCCACGCACAGATTTCCAGCTAATGTGGCTAATAACACGCAACTTTTTGGTGTCCCCAATTCCGAGAAATTGCGAGTGCTTTGGTGCGCTGTTATCTGTCGCCGAGCCCTGCATGTATCTTACCACCGAAATAACTCCGACCACAAGGTTATGAATATCACACGAAGCCCTCTGTCGATTGTGCCGGTGGCTTTGTGTGATGTTCATACACCTTGTGAATGTCATTGCTGGACGAGACGTACTGAAGCTGCAGTGAGAGCACGTCGTAGCTATGCGCAGCTCCGCATGCATGTCGACAAGTGCGACGACAAGCCCCGTACTGAGCGTCGTTGCGACGTACTTACCCCGCTTGACGGCAAGTTGATGTTGCCGCGGCCCATCGCCATCAAGGCCGTTGTCATGTCGTGGACGGCATGGGCCAAGAGAAGAACCTGGATAGTATAACAACGCGATGTGTTTACGTGGTAAGTTGTGCTTTCCCGCGCAACCAAGGCCATAAGAGCCCAAGCCTTTCCATCCTTTCTCCCACCGAGTGCCACGTCACGTGCGCCAAAAAACCCCTTTTCGTCCTACGCACCCTTTTCTGGCACAACCGATTCCACAGATTTCTTGAAACAGCATGGGCGGCGGCGGGCTCCGGATCCTCAAGCACAAGAAGTGGCATGTGTGGACGCGCGAGAACATCGAGAAGGTCCGGCGCGACGAGCGGCTGCATGAAGAGGCCGAGCGCACTGCCTTCCGCGAGAAGCGCAAGCGCGACCTCGACGGCCGCGTCGAGGCGCTCAAGAAGACCAAGCCGACGCCGCCGGCCATCGACCTCTTCGCGCCTGACGAAATCGCGCCGCCGCCGCCAGTCGCCAGCAACAAGAAGTACCCAGACGAAGGCATCGCGCTCGGCGGCGCGCTGAACCCGGCCCACCGCCATGTAGGCCGGCACAAGCCGCCCTCGCAGCCTTGGTATCTCCAGCAGAGCCAAGGCGACGACGACGCCGCCGAGGCGCCGCGCGCAGCGTTCGCCGATCCCATGGCTGCAATCGTGGGCCGGCCCAAGACGTTCATGGCGGCCACCGACGATACGCGGGAAGCCGACGCGCTCGACTTTGCCGGCGACACGGTCGTCACGACGCGCACCGAGCTCAAGAAGACGAAGAAGAAAGCCAAGAAGGCCAAGTCATCGTCCTCCAGCCGCTTCGAGCAGCTCCGACGCGAGCGCACCGAACGCGAGGCCGCCGAGCAGCGCCGTCTCGCGACGCTCCTCCGGCGTTAATGGACTCCATGTGATATATATGAATATGATGCAAGCAAACAGAAGTCGTGTCTATTGGGCCGTCCACTTGCGCACGCCTGCTTCGCACGCCACGGCAGTGATGGCGTTAATGACAAAGATGCCAAAGACTTGGCGGCAGAACGTTGGGGGTAGCGGTGTCGTGAGGTCGAGCCACGCCATATTGAGATCGCTTTCTACGCTTCATCTCCGTATCCATTCGGGCTCGGAGGAGCTACCTGGCGAAAGCAGAATGTACGAGAGGAGCACAGTCATCCCGAGGGTGTAGAGCACGAACGATGCGTTGGTCCAGACGCTTTTGCGGAAAGGGTCCTTCAAGTTGAAGGCGATGGCCAGGAGGAGGTACTGAAGATGACCTACGACGACACACCTTTAAGTCTGCGGTTGGGACTCGGGAGCTGCACCCGTGGTCCAGACGATCGACACCTCGTGCGCGTGCACCGTCATGTCGCCCGACTCGTCTGGCTGGTACGCAAAGCACGGCTTTCGGCCCGACGCGACGTCTGGCAGCGCGCAGAACCAGTCTTGCGAGTGCGCGAGCCAGAGCGGCAGCGCGAAAAATAGACCAAACAGTGCTGTCTGGCCCGCGATCGAGCCCAGGACCGCCGGCGCCTACGATGCACTACTGTCAACCATCTTCTTCTTTGGAGGGTTTGAGAGTCGTACAAAGAGGGAGTCGGGCGGACGCTCCCGCGTCAAAAGCGCAGACGGACCCGTGCGCAGCATGAGCACCGAGAGTCCGAGCACGACAACAAGGTCGTCGAAGAGGTACTAGCCATAAGATGACAAATGCAAGCAGCGAAGAAGACTACTTGGTTGTTGGAGAACGTGGCTTGAACGTGGTTGATGACCGTGATGAGCGTCGTCTCGATCACGGGGTACATGACCATGTACTTGAACGCGAGGAGGGACGTGGTGAGCGCACAGCGGCCTTCTTGGATCAAGGCAACGACGTCCCGAATGTCCTTGTTGCGGCTTGTGAACGGCGCCACTAGATACATTGATACTAAGGACATTCGAGATATAACGTATAGCGCACCAATCGAGGCCTCGGCGTCCGAGAGCGCCAAGCCAACGTGCGCGGCCTTGAGCGCGCCACAGTCGTTCGTGCCGTCGCCCGTCATCCCCACGTATTTTCTACATCAAGACACGGCAATCGTATCAATGTATCCGGATGCGACGCACCCTTGCGCCATGAGCTGCTGAACGATCCACGTCTTGGTCTGCGGCTTGACGCGGGCAAAGATCTTGGTGTCGCCAATCAAGCGCGGCAGCAAGCTCTCAAAGGTGGTGTCTTGGGCCACCAACTCGAGTGCTGCACCCGTCATCTATCCAATAGACGCCTGAATCCCTCTCTACCTCATTTGAAAGCGTACTGCGACATCGTACTGCTCGAGGAGCGCGTCAAACACAATCGCATCGCGGAGCCGGTGCCAGACGCCGAGCTGCTGCGGCTCCTCAAACATATCGATTGAAATCGAGGCGTCCTTGTCGCAGCCGTAGTGCATCTTGTACTGGAGGCTGTCGTGGACTAGGTCGACGAGCACAATGTGCGGTCGCAGCTGGAGCCCGACCTCGCGCGCGACTAGAGTGTAGATGATGGGATGCAGCACTTGAAAGAGTGATAGTTTCAGAGACCGTGCACGGCCGTGAGCGCATTGTCGCCCGTGATGATGTGCACGTCAATCGCCGCGGCTTGGAGCGTCTCGATGACCCATTCAGACTCGGGCTTGATCGGGTTCTGAAAGACACATGTGGCGCCTCGGATCGGAGAGAAGAGGACGTACGACAAAGAGAAGAAAGCCGAGAAAGAGCACATCGGACTCGACGTCGTCGCGCTTGAGGGTCTCGGGAAGGCCGACTCGAAGACCTTGTGGCCGAGCGCGAGGACGTAGTAGCCTTGGCAGACATATTGGTGCACAATCGCGTCGAAATCACTCGGCAGCGACGCCGGGACGCAAATCTACGCCATTTTACATATCGACTTCATCCAAACACGGGAAAATGTACCTCGTGGAGGGCCTCGGGGGACCCTTTCACAAACGCCAGCAACGACGCGTCCTCGGCTTGAACAACGACGCTCGAGCGCTGGACAGTAGCGTCAAAGCTAAAGCGGTCGCGGTACCGCAGCCACTCGCTGCCGTCACGGAGCACGAGGAGGCCGTGGCGCGTCATCTGGAGGCTGCAACTTGTCGACGCAAACATACTCATCTCGAGCGGGTAGCCCGAAATCGCTCCATACGTCTCGGTGAGGCCGTGGCACGCGGCGAGGCCCATCAAGAAGTGCGCGCTCGGCTCTGTGATGCCGCTGCCGTCACAGGTATCGACGCCGAGAAAGTCGAGTGTCTCGGTCGTCAGCGTCCCCGTCTAGACATATATGTATGTATCTGTATTTCAACTCGACACCTCGATACAAAACCGACCTTGTCAAAGCAAAAGCAGTCGAGGTGGCCGCCGACGTTGATGCGCTGGGCGTCAATGCAAAAGATGTTGGCTGCTTGGAGTCGCGTGAGCGAAAAGCCGATGCCAACCGTCAGGATCATGGGCAGCGCGGCAGGAATCGCCGTCGAAATCAAATCAAACACCGAAATGAGGAGGTCGTAGAGCGACGAGTTGGCCGCGATCCTAGTTGTTTTGAGACCGGAACGAGAAAGATTGGTGACGGCGTACGCGTCATAGATGCGCTGAACCGTGGTCAGTAGGGCAATCGCACCCAGCGCGAGGAGGTAGCGGTAGCTGTCGCTCACGATGCGGAACGGGATGTCGTTGGGAAAGAGAATCGACCGAAAGAGCTCGCCCTTGCTCGTGCTAAAGCCGGTCTTGAGCACGACGCCCTTGCAGCGACCTAGGCAACGTAAGTCAATAAACGACGCTCCAGCTCGATGCGACTACCCATGGTGCGCAGGACGGTCGAGCCTGCGAACAGAACGACGCTCTTCGAGAGGGTCGTGTCGTCCACGTGCACGCGATGGTCGCCGAGCCGCTGCTTGGTGACTGGGATCGCTGCAGAGTAGTGCGCTTGGATTACGCACAGAGACAATCGAGGTACCTTCGCCCGTGAGCGACGACTCGTCTGTCGTGCAGTCGCCCACCAAGAGCACCATGTCGGCAGCGACAGCGCCGGCCGAGATGTCAACAATGTCTAACATGCACCATCAACGACGACGTACAATAGGGTGCGAAGCGCACCGCCGACGACGAGGTCGGCTGCCATAAGCTCCCGCAGAGAGCTATCGCGAACGACCATGACGGTTGCGTCGCAGTGCACGAGCGCCTGCATCTGCTTGGCGTTCATGACTTGCGTGTACACTTCGTAGAGGATCGACGAGAGGGACATGCCGAGGATCGCCATCGAGTACGTGTAGTACTCTTCTTGCAGCCACAAGACGACGCTGATGATCTGGAAGAGGTAGAACGGATGCACGAGCTTCTCAAAGAGCACGCTAGAGGCATATATCTTCGTGGACCTATCATCTTCCAAAGAGACCCTACCGGTGCAGCGGCGCCGACGGAATCTCGATCGTGTTGGCGCCGTACAGCCGCGTCCGTTCGTCCGCCAGCGCCGTCGTCAAGCCCGTCTCGAGGCGCTGGAGCGCAGCGCCGCAGCGCTCGTGCAGGACAGATGCCACTAGAACGTCGCTCGTCGCAAGAAGATCCAAAGACAGTAGAAACACGTACCGCGCTCAAACTTGTGCTTGGCCGACGCGTAGAGGTAGCGCTGCTTCTTGAACTCAAACCAGCGGAAGCGCGGGTCCTCGTGGTGCACGATGGCCTCTTCGACCTCGCCGTTGGCGCCGGTCACGAGGACGTAGTCGGCGTCGGCCATGCTCACGCCGTGCGCGCGGGCGACGACCGTGAAGAGGTGCGGCCACCACGAGACGACGATGCAGAGAACGCCGCCGGACGCCACGCACAGCAGCGCGTAGAGCGCGAGGCGCCAGGTCGATGCGCCGTACGGGACGATCGCCACGTACTCGACGGGCTCGCGATGGAGCGCGATCGGCGGCGGCGAGGCGAGGAGGCGGTCCTTCTCGGACGTGTCGTGGCGCAGCGCGAGCTCGATCTCGGCGTCTACCAGCCCACCGTCAGTCCATGTCCCGATCATCTTCGTCGCCGCCGGACCTGGTTGGTGCATCATGGGGCTGCGCTCGACCGACCAGGTTGCGATGTGATAGCTGCGCCGGATACGCGTATCCAGCGCCGATCTTTGAATATAAAATGCGACGACACCTTGCACTCTCTATGTGCAATTAAAAAAAAGACAACCGGATAATCCTGTTGATGGTCAAGTTGAAGTGGGCACGACCCTTCCGGATCCGAAGCCCGCGGTCGACCCTCAAGGGATTTCGCGGCGATCGCAGCGGGCGAGACGCCGTCGCATTGATCCAGTGTGTGCTCTGTAGGCCAAGTACCGAGACGTCCAAAACCGCCTGCGTGAGAGGGCTCCTGGGCGCCGTATTAGTTAATATTTGTTGGACCTGGCCACGTGTGGCTGGACTTAGCCATGTGTGCTGGCAGCCAGCGCATATTAGCAATGACAACCACCGCAAGACTGGAGTAGGAGCTGCAAACGGGGGTACTTAACGTAGAGCCACGATCAGCAGCCATTCAAACGCGGCTCGTGACGTGCTCGTGCCGAATCCTTTTGGACGGTTGACAATCGAGCAGTGCAATAATGAAAGAAGGCCACTCGTCCTTGACAAGATCGATGCATCGTTTCGAGTCATGTAAGTGCTATGGCAGCCTTTTGGATTCTTGGGATCGTCCATAGTGGAGTAGACCGATGACGTACACTGCTAGGGGCGATGAATCAATCCATGGGACCAGATCCTTCGTGCGCCACTCATTCGTGCAACACGGAACGCTAATTCACCGAGTAAACGCTTGTCGACCACGAGGATTGCTGCGGCTGTACGCAGCACGCTTGGGCCTGTCGTCGACGACTGCTGCGGCACTAAGCCATATCGGTGGCACCAGCACGGTGTTGCGAGCCACACCGCAGCCATTGAGCGCCGGTGATAGAACCTAGCGTCGGCGTAAACTGGCACAATAAAGCCACAAGGAGTTGTCGCTCCAGTGCTGGGTCAAACCCACGTAGCTGGCATCATTGCTCGTTCGCGTCTGATGTGAGGTACCACACTCCTCTGCACCACGTGCGTCTTAAAAAGTGACAAGGTGTCAAAAACAAACGAAGTGTCGCCCCTGCCGCTGCTCGTGGGCCCCTCCAATACCATTACCGTACTCCGAGCATGCAAAAGAACGTGCGCGAGCTCGATACGGAACGGCGTAGCCGCGTCTCTTGGCGATTGCTGCCCCTGCCGCTAATGCATTGGTCAACCTAGAACACGACCGAGGACAACGAAGCGGTCGTCTGTGACGCCGGCTCGTCATTTGTCCGAGAGGCACGAGACCGGGATTGTTTTGCTCTTTCTGCACCTTACACAGCTCTCGCGTCGCCCGCTCGTCGTACCTCGAACGAAAGATGGTCCCAACGCATGGCCCAACGCATGGCCCAAGAAGCCAAGTGCCCCATGAAAGACTTGCGACGCTTCAACAGCCGCAGATTGCGCGAGGCCAAGCACCTCGTTGTGTGCACGGACGAGCTCCTCGTGACGACCACCTGGCGCCGCAATCGACGTCTTGGCCGTCGCCGAGGGGCTCGGTAATGCTGCGCTCTAGCAGCATCAGGCCACGCTGCGCCTTGAGAAAGCGACGAATATGTCCCACCTACCACGCTGTCTCGTCATCTTGGCTTTCGTTTTGAGCTGTTGTTCATGATCATCCCACCACAAGCACGGAAGAGGAGGCGGCCGCGACGCTGTCAAACTTAAACGAGCGCTCCTTCGCTTTGTTTAGTTGATGCAGGCGTTGATTGCCGCGGTCATGCAAATGCAAGCAACGCCATGCATTGGTGGAATTCAAAACACGCGCGGCGCTCGCCAGCCGACGGCATGCAGGTTGCAAGAGCTTATGTACCGCATGACGAGCATCGTGTCATATATTTGAATCGGAATGTACCCACGAAGATGTCCCCTCTTGGTCCACAACGTCACAGTGGCGGTCGCATCGGCACCGAGTTCGAGGCGGGTGCCACTCATAGGCGTTGTGGAGGACCTTCCAGAAAGCATACAAGCTTGCCCGACCGTCGACGGTCCATTGGCCGCAATGTGCTGACCGTGCAACGCACGTGAGGAACACGAAACGACCTGATTTCGGATTCAGATCGTAGCGATATCAGGACAAGATCCAATGTGTGACTATTGCTGGCATCCTCCCGGGGATACCCAGGACGTCTTTGGTTTAAACAACCAAAGACCGTTTTGACATTGTCAAACGTTGCTGTTAGACTTGGCAAGTGTTGAAGAAACATTTCCGGCGTGCTTCGTACACTGGCGGTTGAAATTCGGTGCTTTGCTTGGTACGACCCGACGCCTTGTAATCAGCAAACACAATTCTCGAATGGTTTCCATTCTACAGTCTTGTGGCTCTTACAGGCTAGGTTGTGCGGAGAAGCACCACTCAACACCAAGTGTACGGAACACTTATTTTCAGTCTCAGCACTTTTCTCTTGGCCCGCACCATCCACGACGCCACGCGGTCGCGCGGCGGACCACATTGCGTTGGAAAACGAAATCGCCGAGACGTGGCTCCGTAGTAGAGGACGCTATGGGAAGCACCGAATGCGAGGTCGCGTCGCTCTCCGAGGCGTACAGCGGAAACAGGGCGCAATTCAAGTTATTATTTGTGGTCAACGCCAGAAATAAGAACTTGGTGCCATTTCTAGACCACCGCCCGGGCGCCGGCGCCGCTTGACCGCCGGGATCATGTTTGAAATGGAATCGCTCATAGTTGGCACAGTGATAGAAGACACTTTGGGAAGCAGAGCAGACCATGCTACGTTGCCGCTGCAGTCCTACAACGCGCGCAATGGTCGACCAAAGATAGATAGCATTGCTCTTTCAACGTAAAAAGCAAATTGCCAACTATACAGTGAACCACGACCTTTCCGCGCTTCTAGTTCAGGCTGCAGCGTGCAGACTCCAGTCTTGTCGACTAGGACGAAGTAATATGCTCTGGAGAGCTCTGCCTCGTCCAGTAGGCTCGTGGAATCCTTTCTGGGGTGATGTGCTCGAGGAACCTAGATACATCCATCCGGATACGGTCCAAAAGATCGAAACCTCTAAAAGCGCATACTTCAACTGCGCTTGGGATCCGCATCAATTTCTCGCAGGTCGTCACTTGGTCTTTGTATGGAAAGAGAAGGCGGCCGCAGAAGACATCATCTTATAGAGGCACACGATCTTCAGATTGCATTTGGCGAAGTCGGACGAAGATGGGACTCCGCCTCCTCGCGACGACGCTGGCGCTGGCGACCGCCAAGCAGCTGCCGTCCTGCGGCGCCTGGCAGCCGACGGGCCCGGTGGGCGGCCACTACAACACGAGCGCGGACCTCTCGGGCGCGAAGCTCAACGTGCACCTCGTGCCCCACACGCACGACGACCCGGGCTGGCTCCGCACCGTCGACGAGTACTACACGGAGGAGGTCGACTACATCCTCGAGTCGGTCATCACCGAGCTGCTCAAGAACCCGACCCGGCGCTTCATGTACGTCGAGCAGTCGTTCTTCCAGCGCTGGTACGTCCGCTACATCGCGCGCGAGAATGGTCTAACGCGGGCGCAGGTGGCGCGAGCAGACGCACGAGATGAAGACGATCGTCAAGAAGCTCGTGAAAGAAGGTCGCTTCGACTTGTCGGTCAACGGCGGCTGGGTCATGCACGACGAAGCGACCTGCCACTACTCGGTCATGGTCGACCAGACGGCGCTCGGCCACGCCTTCTTGCTCCACGAGTTTGGGTACGCTTCCTGTCGTGTTTGCATCTGGATGTCAAGGTCCTGCAACTAGCGTCAAGCCGCGCATTGGGTGGCAGATCGATCCGTTCGGGCACTCGTCGACGCAAGGCTCGCTCCTCTCAGCCGGCGTCAACTTTGACGCGCTCTACTTTGCGCGCATTGACTACCAAGACTACGAGAAGCGCAAGGCCAACAAGGACCTCGGTATAGATGCCTAAGGCGAGGATGATTACTCAACGACGGCGTAGAGTTCATGTGGCAGCCGTCGCCGTCGCGCGGCGAAAGATCTTTACGGGCATGATCCAGGACGGCTACGGCGCGCCCCGCGAATTCCAGTTTGAGGAAAACGCGCCCATCAAGGACGACCCGTACCTCCACGACTTCAACGTGTGCAACGAGGTCAAGATGTTTGTTGAGCAGAGCCTCGAGCGTGCCAAGCACACCAAAGGTATGGATGCGTCGATACCTTGGTAACGATGTGCGCTCAACGTGGAGAGTAGGCAACCATATCTTTTGGCCGATGGGCACGGATTTCACGTACCAGAACGGCCTCAAGTGGTTCAAAAACATGGACAAGCTCATCCACTACGCCAACCAGGAAGGCCGCGTGAACGTCTTCTACTCGACCCTCGGCCACTACACGGACCTCAAGCTCGCTGACAAGTCGCTGCAGTGGTCGACCAAGACGGACGACTTCTTCCCGTACGCCGACCGCGCGTTCGCCTACTGGTACCACTCGTGTTTATCCCCTCTGGCTCAACTACGCATTTGGTAGGACGGGCTACTTTACGAGTCGCCCGGGCCTCAAGCGCTATGCGCGCGTTGCCAACGGCATCCTCCAGACCATGCGCCAGCTTGAAGTGCACTCGGCGACGTCGTCCAAGGTACTGCATCATCTCCGCCGTCTACTCTCATGCATTACGGTAGCTCATGCATTTGACGGCGAGCGTTGGCGTCACGCAGCACCACGATGGTATCACGGGCACGGAGAAGCAGCACGTCTCGAACGACTACGCCCAGCGGCTCTCGGAAGGCCTCGCATCCGCCGAGACGCAGCTGAATCATCTCCTCGGCGCTTCGAAATCGCCTTTTGCAACCTGTCTTTTGGCCAACGTGAGCCTCTGCGAACCTACGACGTCGGCGGCCGAGACCTTCGAGGTCGTCGTGTACAACCCGCTGCCGTTCGCGCACACGTTCGGTGTCTCGCTGCCGATTGATACGCCGAGCGCAGACGTCGCGCTTGCATCGACGAACGCGCAAGTTCCGTCGACGGTCGTGCCGTACGTGCCCGTGCATGTGGACGCCGAGGCCGCGCCGCACACGCTGCTCTTGCAGGCCGACGTGCCGGCGCTGAGCCTTCAGCGCTTCCGCGTGACCAAGACCAAGGCGGCAACGACGTCGACGGCGGCCGACGTCTCGACGCTCGAGAACGACCACATCAAGGCCACGTTGGATGTGACCAAGGGCAGTCTGGCGAGTCTTTTGGACAAGGCGACCCAGACGCAGGTCTCGATGGCGACCAAGTTTGGCTACTACCAGTCGTACTCGAACGGTGACGACGTCAACTCGGGCGCGTACATCTTCCGCCCCAACACGAGCACGCTCCATGACTTTCCTTCCGTGTCGAGCCATGGCTGTGACGTCGTGCCGCTGCTCCAGTCGTGCTGGTTCCGCTTTGGCAACATGGGCGTCCTCAGCTACCAGCTCCGACCGTGGGACACGTCGCTCGTGGTCGAGTGGACGGTAGCGCCCTTCGATTGCTGCTGTCAAAGAGGCTCACGGTGTCTTCTCAGGTGGGTCCGATCCCGATCGACGACCACCAAGGCAAGGAAGTGATTCTGCGCTTCGACTCGAACGTGGCCTCGAACGTAAGGACGCGCATCTTGATAGTACTATCAAACAACCTGCCGTCTAGAAACGCTGGTACACGGACTCGAACGGGCTCGAGTACGTGGAGCGCGTCCGCGACTTTCGCGAAACGTGGAACCTCACGCTGCACAACGACGAGGAGCATGTGGCTGCCAACTACGTGCCCATCACGACCGGCGCCTACCTCCGCGACGACAAAGTCCAGCTCAACGTCCTCACAGACCGCGCCCAGGGCTGCGCGAGCCTCAAAGATGGTAGAAATCTCGTTCCAGCGACGACAAATCGCTCACACACGTTGCGATCTAGGTCAACTGGATGTGATGGTGCACCGCCGCCTGCTTGGTGACGACCACCGCGGTGTCGACGAGGCGCTCAACGAGACCGAAACGGTACAAGACTAGTATCGTTTCTGCTCTACAACCAAAGATGATGTAGATTCAACTGACCAACAACCAGCCGCGCATCCAAGGCCTCACGGTCCGCGGTCAGTTTTATCTGAGCGTTGGACCGCATGAAGCAGCGATCGAACGTCTGCGCACGACGACGTATGCGCAGTTTGTCCCGCCGCTCGTGGCCCTCCGCGCCGGCTCGGGTGGCTTTGTCGAGATGAAGCCGCTTGGCGACCTCAAGTGGCCGGCCAACATTGGTCTCACGGCGCTCCACTGGGCACACCCGCACTGCCGCCTCGTGCGTCTGAGCCACCTCTTTGCCATTCACGAGCACTCGGTACGTCCACAGCTCCCGCTCCTTTCGATCGAAACTGAGTCCTTTGACAGGAGTGGTCCAAACCGGCGTCCGTGGATCTGCTCCAGCTTGTGCCTGGCGCAGAGCATGTCGTGGTGAAGGAGCTCACGCTCTCGGCCAACGCAGTCAAGGGGCCGTCGCCGACGACTGTGACGCTCCAGCCCATGCAGGTCAAGTCGTTTGAGCTCTGCGTGGAAGGCAAGCGTGCCCCGGTGTACGACGCTGGCCGCGCGTCGCTGGTCGACAGTCTCGACTTTTAGTCACCGGGCCTCTCGAGTCTTGTCTTGCTTAGTATCAATACCGCAATGCAGCAATGAACCAGTGACAACATACCGTATGCATTGTGTTCTCAAATACTAGTATACGCCAAGACAAAGGCGCCGAGAACAACAACGTGCTTGGCGCTGCTGTCTGTGGCGATGGCTGAGGTTGCTGTCAGTTTGGCAGGCGCCGTCGTGATGATCGGCACCGTCGTCATCGTTCCATTGGTTGTCTCGGGCATCTTTTCGGTGACCGAGACGTCTTCGCAAATATGCAAGTCGGTCGCGTCCTAGAGGTCGTCGGGACCGCTGCCTTCTTGCTGCAGGTCGTCCTCGTCGTCACCCAGCGGCGTCGGCTTTGTCGCGTGGGTGGCCGCAAGGCAAAACGCGTTGTCGATCGAGAGCGGCTTGGGTTTGCTCTTGCGAACAGGGCCCTTGTCGGCTGTGGCCGTCCTCAGGCCAGAGTTGAGGTACTACAAAAAGGGACGAGCGGTTCCGCCATCAGATCCGCGACGTCGGCGAAAGCGTTGTCCTCCACAACAAAGCTTACTAGCGGCAGACGACCCTCAATCGCTGCAGCGGCTCAGCGTCGCACATGCAATGGCTCGTCACCGACACCAAGGGGGCGATGCGGGGTCCGACAGTGTTTTTCTCCAGTTGTCGTTGGTGATCGTGGTGCAATGTGGTCGCGCAGATTACGCTCTGGAGACGACGGACACGATGGTGTCCTGACAACGGACTCGTCGGCTTCAACCTCGTGCCCATTCCAACGGGCAGCTTCTCGGTGCAGATGTTGCCGCTCCGTTTTCTGCGCAACCCGTCGCTGTGGACGCAGGTGTGCAGCGACGACAAGGCCGCGATGGTCACTTTGCCTACGTTCTCGCCGCCAAGAAGACGACACATGCGGCTGCTTCGCGCCTCAACGTCGCGCATCTCCGCCACGCGTCCTGGGGTGCCGAGTACCTCGAGCAGTTTGCGGCCAAGTTTGTGGCAGTTCCTCTGTACTTTATGCCCTTTCTTGTAGTTTCAATCACGTCCTGAAACTGAAAGTGCCTACGGGTCGCTGAGCGCCGGCCGCCGCACACGCTCCACCTCGATCGCCACGCGCTCGAATGCAAGAAAAATTGGGCCCCGGGGCACAAAGGGCGCCGTGGCCCTCACATCGTGCGGGTACCCCGGGCTACACGCGTTTGGGTTCCACATTGTGCTGGACCCCGAGACCCGATGGCCGCTCGGCGAAGATGTCCTGGCTCGCGGGCGACAGCATCACCGAGTGCTACTGGCAGTGCGACGACGAGCCGAAGGCTAGGACATCCTCGTGCTGGACCGTCGCTTCATCTGTCCCCAGATCATCGCCCCTTCTGCGCTCTGGTTGCGACCCGGTGTTTGCAATGCACGCGGCAATCGTTGTCGCGACCGAGCTCAAGGAGAACGTACATGGCATGGCTACGCAACGATCGCCTATGCGTCCATTGCGCCATGCGTCGAGATGGCCCACGGCCTGCCTTGCACCAACGCCATGCTGCTCAAGACGATTCCCATGACGACGTCCGGGAAGCTGCAGCGGTCGCGCGCCAACGAGCTCTTTTTGAAGCGCTGCAACCCAAGTCGTATACCACCACGAGGTGCCAGAATACGAGGTGCAGAAAGACGGCGCTTTGCATTACTTGGTCTTCTTGGCCTCGTCGTCCGCGGTCTTCTTGTTGGCCGCGCGCAGAAGCTTGAGCTCCTTCTCCTTGAGTGCATTCGCTTGCGCAAGCTCGTTGAAGATGGCGATGAGCACAAACACAATGACCATGAGCAGCACGTGCTGGAGGTTGAACTTGAAGGCCGACGCCTTCCCGAGAACGTGCTCGAGAAAGTTCTTGACCTGGACGAGACCTAATGCGCCTCATAAGACACTGATTGCTGCACGTAGGCTCCTGCGCACCGGGCTTGATGGTCTTGATGATGTCGTTGGACGAGTACTTGGTCGCATCTACGAGGCAGCGTCAGCGTCGCCGTCGCAGCAGCAGCAGCGTACAGGCCGTGAGCGTCGAGAAGAGGTTCTGGAAGGTCACGAGCGAGATGGACGCGAGGACGATGAGCAGCGGCGGGAGGAAGATGGCTTGCGGCAGCGACACGTTCAACATGGTTCTTAGGCTTCAAGTCGATAAGTGCAAAGTGCGCTACGTGGCGGCAACCCCGCAGTACTTTAATGAAGACTCTTCACTAAAGTATCCGACTACAAAAACAAGGCACTTGGACCCTTCACTTAAATGTCGATGCGAATTCTATTGAAAAAGAATACCTTTATGTGAGTAAACAAAATGTTTAAAATTAAACCATTCGATCAAGTACGCTCGACGACACCGCCTTTGCTAGCTTGCCACGTCGCTTTGCCACGTAGTAGTAGCAGGCGGAGGAGGAGAACTATGGAGGAGGACCATGCACCAAGAAGGCCCTGCGTCGCTACCGCATCTGCTGGAGAAGGCTGCCGGTTGACGCGAATCAACTCGGCGCTGAAAATAGCACACAAAACCACTCGCAATGAGCATCAACCGGCACAGTGGCGGCGGCTCCAACATCCTCCGGGGCGGGAAGCGGTCGTACGAGTGCGGTACGCTCGTGGGCAACTTTGTCGAGGAGTCGCACCGGCCGGGCGTGCCCCGGCAGGCGAAGGGCCTCTCGTCGGCCATGTACGTCACGTCGACCCAAGACCAGATGAACCACGGCGCGCCGCGACCGGCCTTTGGCGCCGGCCTCCAGCCGAGTATGAACCCGCGCTACGACTATGGCAACATTGTGGGCGCGGACCGTGACGCGTCGCCGTCGACGTGGATCTCGCTGCAGCGGTCCACGCACGCCAACAGCGCGACGCCGACCGAGTTTGCCGCGCCGCGGGAGCTCAAGGGCCACTGCCCGGCGCCCGAAGAGTTGGAATTGATTCGCACCAAGTGGACCAAGGAGAAGGACGGACTCAAGTCGCAGCGCTTCATGACCGAGGCTGTGTTTACGCAGGGCAGCGTCGTGCCCGACCGGTTCCGGCACCAGCTGCTCTTCACGCCGCAGCACGACGACGAATAAGTACTATTTCGCGGTCCTGCGTACCCTTTGATTCTTCTTCAATATACGATCCTATATGAACCTAGCGTGGGGTGCGATCATCTAGTCGAGCGGCGCCGTGACCATGCCGTCGGCATCCGTCGACGCGACATCCTCGTCGGCGTCGGCTTGCGACACTTCCGTGAGTCCGCCCAACGACGCTTTTGGGCGCTTCGGCGCCGGGCTTCCGCTCGGTTGCAGGTCGAGAACCATCGCGCAAATGTTGTCAAGACTTCCGCGCTGATACGCGCACTCCATGATGGTCTTGGCGGCCAGCTACCGATGTTTACAAAGGTACACGACTGCTTTCGGAGGCGGCCAAACACGTACGTGGATCGAGTCGGCTTGCAGCACCATGCGCGCCACCTCGGCGTTCGAGAGCACGTCCCTAATGCAATCGTATGCATCAAGAAGTTGATCGTTGCGTCGCCTACCACACGCCGTCCGAGGCGAGGACGAGGTACGCGTCATCGTCGCAGCGCTCGTGCTCCGTGATCTCGGGCTCGGCGATCACATACGGCTTGAGCATGCGGTCGCCGATCGCTCTGGTCCGAGCATAAGCAATGAGTTGCAATCGACAGGGAGAGGCACCGAGAGACGGCCAAGATGCCTTCAACGCGCCAGACGCCCCAGAAAATGACGTGGCCGCCCATGTTGGTGACGCGCTCGCGCTCGTCCGGGCGGTTGGGCTACCGGCGGCCAATAAGACGACTACGATCTGAGAGGTATCCGCACCTTGTGGTCGTTGGAGAGGGCGATGGCGTCGCCGTCCTTCTTGATGAGAACGGCCCGCGAGTCGCCGACTGGACGATCCGTCAGCTCCGAGATGCGAAGTCATGGAGGGTGCACCGTTGGCCACGTAGATCGTGTCGCGCTGCGCGAGCACCGTGACAGCGGTCGTGCCGTCGTCGCGGTTGCGGCGGTTGGCGACTTGCGTGTACTACATGCAAAGGGTCCGTCCACGAGCCCTCCATGCAAGCATCGTACGTCTTCGTCCGTGCGCAGAAAGCCCTTGGTCAGTGCCTCCTTCGGGTACTTGGCGTACATCGGGTCTTGGATCACGTTGTTGCACATCATCTCGGCGCAGTACTCGGAGGCGCCATCGCCGCCATGGCCGTCAAAGACGCCATAGAACGAAGCCGTCGCGTCGCCTACATGGAGTCGAGCTACACAGTTTGGTGCATGGCGTACCGTTGAGCGTGCCCACAGCCACGTAGCGGTCTTCCATGTACGGTCGCTTGCCCTACGCAGTGCGCCTTGAAGGCCGTGTCGGCGGCGACGGCAAGCGCACCTGCATCTCCGCCACGCCGTAGGGGTAGACCACCGTGCTGTCGATCTCGCGCGACCGCTTCGTGCTGGCTTCCTTCTCGGTGCGCGGTGGGCTACGCAGTGGTGACCATCGATGGCCGATGCAGCAGTCGCGTACTGGATCTCGTGGAGGGCAAACTTGACGACGACGTAGAGCACGACGATGAGGACGACGTACGACGTGTACATGCCATCGAAGAGCCCGTTCATGGCGCGGGTCTCGCCCCCTGTCATTAGCAGCGCCATCGAGCTTCCTTCCTTTCTTCCTCGTAGTCAATCGGTCGGTACGTATTGCGGTCGACAACACGGCCAATCAAACGCGCGTCTTTGTCGAATTATCTGGCCATTTTAACCAATCACATGCCGAACTCGTCCTGCCTGAAGCAGTTCAACGCCGACTCGATGCGTCGACTGAGTAACAACACGACGGCTTGGTCGTCGCCACGACTCTCTTGCATGCACCCTACCATTGCGCTGGATGCCCATCTTGAGTTGACTCGGTCGTCCGGATTCTGGTCGGTGCAACGCAAAGCCAGTTTCAGTGCTCGCTCCTTGGTAATATTGCTAATATTACATCCGGCGAACGAAGTACACAGGTAGAAAGGCTCGCAGCGAGAGCAAGAGCAATTCGCTGTAGCTAGCTAGCTCATGGGCTCTTCCTCCTTAGCTACGTATGCTAGCAAGTACGGGCGTAGTATGTGCGGACCGGTCAGAGATCCAGAACTATCCTGATCCAGATGGCCTAGTTTGGGACGGTTTCGGACCGCATGGCTCGAAATTGGGATGATGATCCGACAGTAACCCATCGGCGATCATGTCCTCATTGAGGTCGCTCCTCAATCCGACGGAGGCCGACAATGGCAGCACGAGCTCCGACGCGGCCAAGGAGCCGAGCGACCGCAAGCGGCGCCACGACCGCGCCAAGGCGCGCTACATGGAAGAGGTCTCGTACCTCCAGGAGAAGAGCAAGGAGCTCCAGGACCAGCTCGACGGCCTCGAGCGCTCCAAGAAGCGCAAGACCGAGACAACAGCGTCGGTCTGGGAAGGCTTTGCGCGGCGCCAAGCGCTCGAGCGCCAAGAAGCGCAGCTCGAAAACGCCAAGCTCAAAGGCGTGCTCACGCAGCAGCTCTCGATCATCAAGGGCCTCGAAGCCGTCCTTTCGCAGCGCCCGCAGCTTCTCGTAATTGCCCATCGCTCTGCAGGTTCGTCTCACACGCCTGGTCTCTAGACGTGGCCAACGCTGCCGATGAACGACGCGTCAATAGTTCGCTTCCCAAAGGACCCAGCGCTGCGCGCGGCCGAGTTTGAGCGCGTCATGACCTACGAGCTGGTCTGCATGTTCGTCTCACACGCCTCGTCTTTAGACGTGGCCAACGCTGCCGATGAACGACGCGTCGATCGTGCGCTTCCCAAAGGACCCAGCGCAGCGCGCGGCCGAGTTTGAGCGCGTCATGACCTACGAGCTGGCCCGGCTCGACGAGACGTACCGCAAGTTTGGCCTCGTCAACACGCTCGACACGTGGAAGCAGGTCGTCGTGCGCATGGACGAGGCGACCCACGAGGTCGTGCTGGACGTGAGCTTCAGCTTGGTCGTGCACGTCCCCGCGCGCGTCTTGGCCGACGCCATGACCATCATCTACATCCCAAACGAAGATCTGAGCGTCCGCAACGGCAGTGTCAAGGTACTTTCAACATCGTATTCCGCATCGTATCCATTTCTGTTTAGTTTCTCGAGCGCTTTGACCCGCACTCGGTCTACGTCCAGCGGATCTTTAACATCACCAACCTCCCGCAAGTCGTCGCCCACTTTGCCTGCCGGTGCGCGCGGGTCGCCGCCGACCACGCCAAGTTCGCACTCGTGTCCGTCATGGACGACGACGCCGTGCCGTACCCGCACCACGCGCTGCGGTCCCGCGAGCACATTTATGCGAGCGCCGAGCCGCTCAATGGCACGCAGTCGCGCTGGAAGATGGTGCGCCGCGTGCACATTCCGGCGTCGCTGACGGCGCAGGTGCCCGTGCCAATTGGCGCACTCGTCGAGCTGCTCTTGCACTGCTACTCGGACAACATTGAGATCCTCATGCGGCGCATGCGCGACGTGCTCCCGGGCGTCGCAGGGCTCGCGCCGCACTCGGACCTCGTCGAGCCGGCGGGCGAGCTCATCCAGCTCAACCAAACGAGGTTGTCGCCGACGCACTAATCAGAATGACACCGTATCATTGCGTTATTATTGAGATCTAGCTTGAGATCCAGCGCGACGTGACTACGCCGGCGGCGTCCTGAGTCATTCAGTCTTGGCGATGTAGCGTCGTACGAGATACTCTCGGGCTTGTCCCACCCACGGAGCACCGGATCTCTGCGCGTGGACATCGCCGTCTGTCGCGCGATGGATTGGACAGTATTGAATTGGATCATTGATTGATAGCGCTCTTGAACCCGCTGACGCCGTCGCAGAGCTCCGTCGAGCGCAAGGGCCGCCACCGCCTCGCCAAGGTCCGCTACGAGGCCGAGATGGACGCGCTGCGCCGCCAGCAGTATGCGCTCACGATGGAGCTCGAGACGCTTGAGTACGCGCGCAAGCTCCGGTCGAGCAAGTCGGTCTGGGAAGGCTTTGCGCGCCGCCAGGCTCTTGAGCGCCAAGCCGCCGTCTTTGAGAACGCGCAGCTCAAGAAGGTACTGCAGCACCACGCCGACGTCCTCTCGCGGCTGCGCGCGGTCGTCGAGCCGGCGACGATGTCCTGTCGTATGGACGACGACCTGGTGCTGGCCCACGTCACGCGCGGCCCGCTCCCGCGCAACTGGTCGAACTCGACGCTGCACGAGCGCCTCGACGCCCAGAAGGCGCTGCTGCCGTCGATCTTCCGCAAGCACGGTCTCGACTGCCAGCAGGACTCGTGGAAGCAGATCGTGTCGCGAGTCGATACCGCGACAGGCGATATCGTGCTCGAAATCTCGACCTGCCTCGTTGTGCACGCGGGCTTTGCCGACGTCGGCGACGCCATGAGCTGCATTTACACGCCCAAGCAGCCACTCCACGTCGAGAACCGCTCGATCGAGGTAGTACTATCCTGGTGAGATACCGCACGTAGCATCTCATTACCTCAGATTCTCGAGATTGTGGATGCGTCGAGCCACATTGGCGAGCACGTGCACTGCGTCGCGTCCGAGACGTTCCGGCGGCGGTTTGCGCGTAAGTGCTCCGCCCTTCACGACCGCATCGTCTTTGTCGAGCAGACGATCGAGGCCGACCACGGCGACAGGCCGTACACCGAGACGAAATACGAAGCGCTCGAGTATTTACGTCGCGACCGCTGCCACTGGAAGATGTTTCGCTGCGTGCGCTTGCCCGTACGCGACATGCTCTGTGTGGATCTGCAGCAAGAGCTCATGGCGTCCTTCGCGGCCAGCATGGACAACGTCATCGACGCGCTCGAGAGCGTCGTGCAGTCGCTCGCCCGCACGATAACGCGGGACAATCACCACGTGCGATGGCTCCTCTACGAAGGCTAAGGGAGATAAGCTCTAGTAAATAAGAGCATAAAGCATTTTGGATTAGGAACCCAAGGATGACGCTAGTACGTGTACGACGCAGGAGGATGATGGCCGCCGAGGACTGGTCCTGTATCAGGCCAGCTGCGTGACTGGCAGAGAGAGCCGGATCAGTTTGCATTACTCCGGAGTATACAATTTTAGCCATGCCAAGACAAGGCAAGATTGCGGGCCTTCTCAACCCGGACGTCGCGGCCTCGGACCGCAAGCTGCGCCACGAGCGCGCCAAGCAGCGCTACGAGGACGAGGTCGCATCCCTTCGCGCCAAGCTGGCCGAGCTCTCGGAGCAACTCGAGACGCTCACCAAGGCGCGCGCCGGCCCGCGCAAGTCGCAGTCGGTCTGGGAAGGCTTTGCGCGCCGCCAGGTCATCGAGCACCAGGAAGCGCTGCGTGAAAACGCAAAGCTCAAGCACCAGATCGAAGCGCATATGGGGCTGCTCCAGCGCCTCCAAGGCGTGCTAGCGCAGGACCGGCACGACCTTCTCGTACGAAATGCGCCCAAACGTCCACGGCCCTGACGCGCTGTGTAGGAGCTATCGGACCCGAATGCTGTCGTGAGCCTCGTGGAGGAGCCGAGCGCGCGCCGGGCAACGGTCCACGCCGTCTTGGACCAGCAGTTTGCGCAGCTGCCGGCGACGTACCAAAACACGGGCTCGCATCGTCCCTCGACACGTGGAAGCAGATCGTCGTGCGGCAGGGCCGCCACGAGCTCGTGCTCGAGATCTCGTACAACCTCCTCGTGCACGCGTCTCTCGACGCCGTCGGCGACGCGCTCTGCGAAGTCTTTGCGCCGACCCAGCGCCGCGTCGTCAGCAACGGCACCGTGCAGGTGCGCGCTATGCTCATTCGCTGTGCATGTCCCAACCGTGTACTACGATTAGCTGCTCGAGTCGTTTGACGCGACGACGCACTTGCTCGAGCGCGTGTACACGGTGCCAGAGCAGCGCGCGATCCACACGCACCTTGCGACCAAGAGCTTTCGCTGTGTCGACGGAGGGTTCGCCTTTGTGCAGCAAGCGATCGGCCAAGACGCACTCTTTCCGCTGCCTCCCGACACGGTGGTCGTCCGCGACGTCATCTTTACGACGGTCGAGTCCAGCGAAGGCGGCGACGCCCGCTGGAAGTCGTTCCGGCACGTGCACATCCCGCTCGATGAGACGGCGGGCGGCGACATGGTCGAGAAGCTCCTCGCCTGCTACGGCGACTCGATCGAGGTGCTGACGAAAGCGCTGCACCGGGTGCTGCGGTCGCCGCGCGATCTCGTCGAGTCCCAAGGCGACTTGATTACCTTCAACCATAATTATCAATGATGATCACCTCATCGCGCTGGATCTCGCGTCTCCAAGCGAGTGTACGGTTCGCCCGATCTGTCAGCGGCGGCTCCGCATACTTGGTCGAGTTCACCGCATACTTGGTCATCTCGGCTCCACGACGGCGCCGGCGCAGCGCGCAGATTGCATCCTGCGCTGACCACAACCGTGCGTAATGGCCGCCCTTTCTCTTGGCTCCTCGGACCGACAAAGCATCGCGTCAACGTTAGAGGGACCTCGTCGTCAACCATCACGTCCTGGTTCTTTTTTACCGCTGGCATACAATCCCTGCATTGATTGTTCATACTACAATGGACGACGAAGTGGTATGACTGCAGCGATGTCCGACGACGTCATGACAGAATCCTCGACGGAGCAGGGCCCAACAACGCTGCACAGTAGAGATTCTCGAGGTGCGCCGGTGCGACGCGAGGAGGCGTTGGACGCGCACGGAAACGTGGCGTCGCAAGCGGCTTCGCAGCGACTATGGGTGCGTCGACGATAAGCTTGTGGGTAAACACATGGGTAAACACGCCGGCAAGGTTCTTTCACCCGTTCGTGGGGTGCTACCGAAATCAACGCTTTCAACGGGCTCCACGGGTTACTTTCCCAAGAAGTATCATCATCCGGTGGGGTATAGTAACTCATTGAACGCGTACAAAGCCTAGCCACCATTGATGGTCCAAACGACCCTCGTGGTACCCCGCAGAGCGTGGGTCCTTTGGCTCTGTCCAAGGAGCGACGAAAGGAGTTCTAATTGGAAGCGCATTACGCAATAATCGGCGCAGAATGAACACCGTGCTTTCACTGCACTCGCTCCTCAACCCGGCGCCGTGCCCGGCCTACGAGCCCAAGCCGACGTCGCCGGCCAGCAGCGGCGGCAAGCCCCCGAGCGACCGCAAACTGCGCCACGACCGAGCCAAGACGCGCTACAACGACGAGATGGCCTTCCTGACCCGAAAGCGACAAGAACTCACCGAGCGCATCGAGAGCCTCGAGAAGGCCAAGCGCCACCGCACGAGCAAGTCGGTGTGGGAAGGCTTTGCCCGGCGGCAAGCGCTCGAGCGCCAAGAGTCGATGATCGAAAACACAAAGCTCAAGAACGTGCTTCAGCAGCAGCTTGCGATCCTCGCCGACCTCCAAGGCGTCTTGTCCGAGCGTCCGACGCTGACCAGCTGGCCGCTCATGCCCGGCATTGAAGGCCCCATGGCGCTTCTCTCGAAAGAGCCCAACCGCCGCCTCGCGCAGTTTACCGAACTCATGGACGCGCAAGTGAGCCAGCTCCACGACGTCTTCAGGAAGCACGGACTGCTCGACGCGGCCGACACGTGGAAGCAGATTGTCGTGCGCAACGACGGCTGCCACGTCGCCCTCGACGTCTCGGTGAGCATGGTTGTCAACGCGCCGTACAAGCTGCTGGGAAAGGCGCTCGAGCGGGTGGCATCGGTGCGCGAGCCCCGGCGCACGGCCAACGGCTACGTCGAGCCGATCGAGGTGTTTGAAGGCACGGGCCAACTCTTCCGCCGCGTCACAACCATGCTGGGCTTGCCCGAGATCCACGCCGAGTTTGCGGTCAAGGGCTACACCTTTCCGAACCAAGTTGCGTTCGTTATCAACTCGATGTATGACGACGAGACGTCACCGCCGGAGCGCGGCGTGCTGCGGTCCCGGGAGACCTTGTTCATCACAAGTGAGTACCTCAGCGAGACCCAAGCGCGCTGCAAAATGTACCGCAAGGTCTACGTGCCCGCGATCCACGTGCCGGGGACACCGCCGTCGCCATCCAGCGACGACGGCAATTGCGGCGTCGCGTCGCTTCTCGAGATGCTGCTCACGTGCTACTCGGACAACATTGAAGCCTTTGTCCAAGCGATTTACCGCGAATTCCGACCACTCCTCGGCGCCGACAACCTCCCCGACTCGCTCGTCGAAACCACGCCCGAGCTCATCACGTTCAACGAGAGCAGCGTATGAGCCGCGAGCTGATTGAAGTCCTATAATAGTACTAGTAGCGCACACCTTGTTGGTACCGGTAGTCAATGCAACGCCTGTTGTACTACTCCATTTGCTCACATCTCGCAAATGTATGGCCCCACCGAGGCCATGCATTGATTGATCTCCCATCTCCTCGTCGTACAGCAACGGTCGTGTTCCACGTGTCCTCAACCCTAGTAGCTCGTCGACCTTACCGTAGCTCTAAAGTACACTGTACTACACGGTATGCCGGTGGGATGGATTGCACCGGCGGTAACTCTGGCGTGAGCGGTGTCGGTCCGGAGTGACGTCAGTGCCATGTCTCGACCAGAGCCCAAGCAGCACTTGAAGATACTACCGGGCACGCTGCTAGTAGAGTCGTTGCTAGTAGAGTCGCTGCAATGGCCACACAATCCTTCGACCAGCGCCGCATCCCACGACCACGGTGTAGCTGGCATCTCACCCACACGTGTGTGGTCACGGTGCAGATGCCACATCGGCAAGTCGTGTTACTTCCAGCGCCTGCGACAGCCCACATCGACCTCAAAAATATGCAATTGAAAGCTGTTTTTATCTATGCAACGTGAAATGCATACCAATATCAAGTACAATAAATTCGGAAATATGCATTCTCGCGTCTCGAAAGCGCGCGGATTGAGCGCGGGCCAACCAAGACGAGTGCCACATCTCGTGCGAATTATGTGACGGGTATTAGTATGTGCACACTCTAATATTCTTCACCTCGTCGTCGATGCTTCCTCTCTTGCGGTCCTCGCTGTCGTCGTCCGAGAAGCAGTCGCTGCGCTGCTGCGTTCGGGGCACGAGCGTCGTGAAGCGGCAAGGCCTCTTCCTCTCGAGCCTCCAAGTGCTCTACCACATCAAGGTCCGCGTCGCCGACGAAGTGTGGGTCTCGCAGACCGCCATGGACGACATTCTGCAGCTGCACGCGCAACTACTCTCGATCGCCAAGCAACACTGCACCGAATTCACCAAGGCGCTCTCGTCGCTGCCGTGCCCAAAGGAGCCGCTCTTCAAGAAAACCGAGATGCTCGTCATCAAGGGCATGTGCGGCGAGCTTGAGCACTATCTTTTGAACCTCGTCAAGCTCTGCGAGCGCTTCGACACGCCCGACGTCGACCTCGTCGAAGCACAGACGCTGCACTTTCTCAAGGCCGCCGCGTTGCAGTCGTCGCATTAGCAATCTAGGTAGAGCAGTAGCATAGAAACCATAACTTATCCGTCTTTGGACGGCCCTTTTTCTTAATTTAGACTCAAGTAACCTCTGCGCGCACTCTTTGCACGGATGGGCAACAAGGCGGCCAAGCCGCTGTCGTCGACCAAGGAGAACGACGTCGTGCCCTTTGACGTGGCCGACGTTACGAGCTCGGAGCACACCTTGGCCAAACCAGATCAACGGCCTTTGGCGGCATCGACAACGCGCCTCGTCGAGTCGGCTGCGGCGACAAACCAGATCACGACGCGGCACAAGCGCCACAAAAAGCCAGCCAAGAAGCTGGCGCAGAAGTCGGCGAAGGAGGGCGACCCGACCGAGTTGGAGTTTAGCTCGAACGAGAGCTCCGAGGACGACGAGAAGACGAAGAAACCGAGCAAGAAGCAGCCGCCCCACAACCACCATCCCAACCACCACCACCACCACGAGACCCTCCTGATTGACGAGTCGCCAGACGCCCTCTCGAGACCAGACGCCCACAAGAAATTAGGAAAGGCCCCAAACCAGACAAGGCCCCCAAACCAGACAAGACCCCCAAACCAGACAAGGCCGCGAAACCAGACAAGGCCGCGAAGCCGGTCAAGACCGCGAAACCAGACAAGGCTGACGAAGGAATCGCCGTTGGCCAAGATGAAGCGCAAGTCCGGCGTCAAGTCGTGCGCCGCGATCGAGGCCGACGCGGAGCCGCCGATTCGGCATCTCTCGACGCGTGTGCTGGCCCCCATTGACCTAAAAGGACTCAAGACGATCGAGAAGATGCCGGCAATCGAGGTACCCCACCCTGTGCAGGCCGACGACGCGCAGGTACCCCCCGTGCCAGTCTCGACACCGCAGTCGTCCACCCGCAGTCCCGTACGAACATGGCGCTTTTCATGGAGGAAACGATTTCTTGTAGGTCCCACTGCCACACGTCCAAAGCGACCTGGACCTCGACGACGTCACGGATGAGTTCTTCAACGACGACTTTGAAATGAACCGGCCGCCTCTCAAAGCCGTCGAGGTGCGGAGCCCGCAAAGCACAGAGCCGATGCGAGCACGGTCGTCGCCGCCGGTCCGCGCCAACGATAGGTACGTACATCGATGTACCTGGGTCAACGACCATCTTGCACTAGGTTAGTAATAGACGACATTGACGAGGACATTATGAAGGACATTCTGGACGAGAGCTAGCCTGTACGAGTTAATAATTATGTACCGAGTCGTTCGGACCGTAATGTAGTAGTATACGTCTCCTAACAGAGCTCGCGGGGCGGCGCGACAACCGGGACGCTGCCGTACACGAATGCAGGCGCCTCGAACTGCGTCTTGGCCCACGCCACGTCCGACGTGTCTACGCCCAAATCCGATGAACATAAGAAAGGAGCTGGCTCGTGTACCATGGACTTTGACCCGCGTGGCTTTTTTCGCCGCCACCTCGGGCAAGTCGGGGATCGTGTTGGCGGGTTTCCCGGCGCTCGATTGGTTCGCGCCAAACGACTGGCCAAAGCCAGAGTTCGACGATGGCTGGCCGAACGGAGAGCTGCTTGGCGGCTGGCCGAACGGGCTGTTGACAGGTGGTGGTGCTTGACCAAAGGTTGTGCTGGGTGTCCCAAACGGGCTGTTCGCTGCGGGGGCGGCTTGGTTGAGCGGGGGCGGCTTGGTTGAACGGACTGGACTGGCCGAACGGACTACCACCGGACGCTTGGCCAAAGGGCGACGGTGCCGGCGGGCTGAACGGACTCGCGGAGCTCGGAGGTGGCTGCGCAAATGGACTCGCTGGCGCCGACGGCTGGCCAAAGGGGCTCGAGGACGCCGCACTGCCTTGCCCAAACGGACTGGACGTCGGCGCGTTGGCCGGTGGCGCGGCAAAGGGACTGGACGCCGTCGATCCAAAGGAGCTTGTCTGGCCAAAGGAGCTGGCGGTGGAGGCGAAGGGCGAGGTCGATGCGCCCATGGCCGAGGGTGCGCCAAACGTCGCACCACTGCCCCCAAATGGCGACGGCGACGATGCGGGAGCACTGCCAAAAGGCGATGCTGCCGGCGCGCCGCCAAAGGGCGATTGCCCAAAGCCAGCGCCCGATGACGCCGCGCCGCCAAAGGTCGACGTCGTGGTGCCAAACGGAGAGGAGGACGCGCCGCCGCCAAACGGATTGTTCGCTGGCGCGCCGCCTCCAAAGGGGTTGCCGCCGCCGCCAAAGGGGCTCGTCGATGGCTTGGCAAACGGGCAAACGGGCTGGTACTGCTGTTGCTGCTGCTAGACTGACCAAACGGGCTTCTGCTGTTGTTGTTGTTGTTGTTGCTGTTGTGGCCAAACGGGCTGGCGCTTGGGTTGGACCGATGGCTGTAAGCGTTCGAGCTCCCGCCCTACAAGGAGGTGAGCGCAGTGTAGCGGGTGCCACGTACGTACGCCGTTGTCGTGGGCGAAGCGGCAGTTGTTGCCGTTGCGGCACGTGCCCTGCTTGTAGAAGCGGCACGGGATCTTCGCGTTGCTGTTGTTGTTGCTGCTGCCGCGGTACATGCTCGACTGCGCGTTTTGTATATTTCGGCACATGCCACATCTAGCCGGTCAGTAGTTTTGGCACGTGTTACGCCTTTCTTCATCACAATCGGAGGCGGCGATGGGGCAGTCGCTGGCCAAGGCCGTGGACGAGAAGGGCAAGCGGGTCAAGAACCCGACGTGGAGCGGATGGCTGCACATCTACAAGGTAGAGACGACGCCTCTGCCACGGTGTCTCACGTGCGCGGCTAGAACGGGCTGCTCAAGCGCGGCTACAAGCGCCGCTTCTGTCGCCTCGACCGCGACCGCCTCTACTACTTCACGGACGAGCGTCCCAAGCACACGTCGAAAGGCTGCATCCACCTCCACGACGTCGTGGGCATCGCGGCGCTGCCATCGTACTCGGCGGCGGGCGACGACACGACGCTGCAGCTGCCCGTCGCGCTCGTGACGCCGGCGCTGGTCCACATGCTGGTCTTTGAAGCGGCCGACGCCAAGGCGTCGTTCGAGCGCGCGCTGGGCGCCAACGTTCCGCGGTCGATGATCGTGGCCGAGGACTGGTCCATCGTGCAGCTCGAGCACGGCCAGAGCAAGGAGTCGCCGTATGTGCGCTATTACATTGTGTTTCTAACGTCCGGGGACCTCCTCTTCTTCACGGACGGCAACTGCCGCCTCCTCGAAGCCCGCGTGCGCATGCTGGACCTCGAGAACGTTCTCGTCGCGTACGACTCGGCGGCCGGGAACGGCGTCGTGCTCTCACCGCGCAGCCAAGCGCGGGCGGCGGCCTCGCTCGCGAGTCCGTCGATCCAGCTGGTGGTGCACGCCAAGGTCATCAGCCTCGAGTTTGACGCCAAGACGCAGTACGAACTCTGGCGGGAGCTCCTCGTGGACGCCGCCGCAGGCGACTACTACGGCCGCGCGTTTCTCCAGCGACGGCTCCAGGACGAGCAGCGAAAAAAGTACCAGCGCCAAGCCAAGCTCGACGATATGCTCAAGAAGACCAAGAAGAAGATCTCGAGGCATAAGAAGCAGCACCTCAAGGACCCGCGCGTCTCGGTCAGCGACGTGACGTACGACGGCGACGACCTCTCGGAGGTCTCAACCTTGTCCCACGCGTCGTACGAGTCGGCGCTCTCGTCGACGCGGTCGAGGACCTCCAAGTCGGCGGGGTTTCCAGACGCAGAGAGGCCTGCGATGCAAAAGAAATCGAAAAAGGCCGCGACAACCGCCGCCGACGCCAGCGAGGCAAAGCCCAAGACGACCAAGAAGCGGCGGGACGAGGCGCTGGGAGAGGAGGGCAAGACGCCGCAGCTGCCGCCGGCGGCCGACGAGAGCACCCGTCCCCTGAAGCCCCGGAAAAAGAGCAAGAAACCCAAGGGTGTGGTGCTGGACGCAGAGACTAGTGTCGTGATCGCGCCCGTGTCCGAGCCGACGCCGCCATCAGCCCCGACACCGTCCGTGCTCGCAGCACCAGCCACCGCGCTCGTACCCAAGAAGAATTTGAACCGGGTCCGCGAAGACATTTTTGCGAGTCCGGTCACGAGTCCGACGTTTGCCGAGAAGAAGCAAGCGCTGCTGCGACGTCTCCAGCCCGACTACTCGCCGCTGTCGCCCAAGGTCAAGGTTGAGACGACGCAGTTTGTGCCCGAGCCCGTGTCGGCGCCCCGCACGCGCCGTCGCCAGCGGTCCGTGACGTCGTCGTCGTCGATCAAGCACTTTGCCTCGCGCCGCGAGCTGCTTCAAATGGACTTTGAAAAGCTCTGCGCACGCATGCAGTCGTCTGCGAACGGCCGGTCGACGAAGCAGGCGCGCCGCCTCGAGAGACAGATCCAGGCGTGCGCCCAGGCCATCGATACGCTTGGCGGCCTCGTGCTCTTCCCCCCCACAGACGAAGCTCTTCTCCCGCCAATCCTCCCGATGCTCGCGTCCTTGGAGCTCAGCGACTTGCCGAAAAGCACGGTGGATGTCCAAGGCAACTGGTTCACGACCGAGCAGAGAGGCGGCGTCCGTGTCCGGCACTGGCAACGGCGCCACGCGACTTAAGAGACGGTGGCCTATTTAATTCGTGTAGTACAAGCGTTGTGACGCGTATCGCTTTCGCAAGGACGAGCAGATGAAGCTCGTTACTAGGTAAGCTCATTCCTACGGCTTGACGGAGACTGGTTCGGCTACTATTAGTTGGCGGTGTTGTCACATTGCACTTGGATAACATTCGGCATCGTGTGCCGATTTTACCGGATACGGCTGTTGTAACCGGACATGCATCGTTCAAAAGACAGGCGTGCAAGAACGACGATGGCGGTGCAGTATGTGCTCTTCGACATGGATGGCCTCCTCCTGGACACGGAGCGCGTGTACACGGAGGTGACGAGCGAGATCTTGAGCCGCTTTGGAAAGCAGTTTACGTGGGACGTCAAGGCGCGGATGATGGGCCAGAAGGAGTACGACGCCGCCAAGATCCTCATTGCCAGCTACGGCATCGACTTGACGCCCGAGGCGTACTTGGCCGAACGCAACGCGTTGCACGCGGCCAAGTTTCCGTTCTGCAAGCCGCTGCCGGGCGTACTGAAGCTGCTAAAGCACCTGAAAGCCCATGGCATCCCGATCTGCGTCGCCACGTCCTCGCACCGCAGCGCGTTCGAGCTCAAGTCGAGCCGCAACCAAGAGCTCTTTGCACTCTTCGACGGGCACATCATCTGCGGCGACGATCCGCAGGTGAAGCATGGCAAGCCGGCGCCCGACCTCTTCCTGCATGCGGCGACAGCGCTCGGGTGCACGCTCGACGCCGACAAGAACGCGACCTGCCTCGTGTTTGAAGACGCGCCGTCGGGTGTCCAAGCCGGCCTCAACGCCAAGATGCAGGTCGTGTGGATCCCGGATGCCAACTTGGAACGCGACCCGGCCCTCGTCGCGCAGTGCGCGATCGTCCTCGACAGCATGGAGGCGTTTGACCCGGCCGCCTTTGGCTTGCCCGCATACTAGCGCATCACGCTTAGATCTTAGTCGCGACGTATCCTGCGATACCAGTTCTGAATGCATAATGGAAACAACGCCAGTCAAGCACCGTACCAGTAGACAGCAGCGGGGTCTGACTTCGCCGACGCCGCCCTTGCTGCCGCGAGCTTGCAGCCGAGACAATAAATGGAGTCTAGTATCCAGTATTGATTGGATACCTCTTAGCGTCGTATACAAGATAAGCTTGACGCCGTACCGGAGGTGGTGGTTTTAGCGCCAAATTCGAGTCGTCCGGTCAAGTGCTTGGCCCCAATAAAGTGCGATTTGAAAAAAGCACAGGGGATTTGTATGAAAGCGCACTTGAGCGGGTGCTGGGCTGCGGTTGGTGGCTGGTTTGCACCTCTTGCCATAGAGACCAATCATCGATATCTTAGATTGAGATGACGAGTGTGTTCACGCAGAGCCGCGTCCTCCAGAGCTTCCGCGCCTTGGGCGTCGTCGCCTCCGACGTGCCGGTCGTGCTCTCGCGCACGGGCTTCATCACCGTCGCGACCGGCAAGAGCTTCCAGGTCTACGACACGGAGAAGCTGACGCCGGTCGCGGTCTCGTCGCCGCTGCCCAAGAAGATCCGGGCGCTGCAGACCGTCTTGAAGCACAACCGGACGTTCGCCGCGGTGGGCCGCAACATCCACGTCTTCAGCCGCATCACCGAGACGCACGTGCTCTCTGGGCACCAGGCGCCGATCCTGCAGCTGCTCGCGGTCGGCGACGTTCTCTTCTCGATCGCCGAAGACAACACGATGCGCATCTGGTCGACCACGTACGTCCCTATCGTCTAGCTCTAGGAGAGCGACTCATGCGGTACATGGCAGGGACCTCGAGCTGCTCGAGACCATCACGTTTGAGGCCGCGTTCACGCCCACGTTCCTCTTGCACCCGTCGACGTACCTCAACAAGGTGCTTGTCGGCTCGACGCAGGGCGCGCTGCAGCTCTGGAACGTCCATACGCTCAAGTGCGTCTTTGCCTTCAAGGGCTGGGGCTCGGAAGTGACGGCCATGGCGCAGAGTCCGGCCGTCGACGTCGTCGCGATTGGCCTCGCAGACGGCCGCATCCTGCTGCACAACCTCAAGTTCGACACGACGCTCATGACATTCTCGCAAAGCAAGGAAGGCCGCGTCACGAGCCTCTCGTTCCGCGCCGACGACAAGGCGCCGTGGCTGGCCTCGGGCACGACCTCGGGCTCGGTGCTCCTCTGGAACCTCGAGACGCAGCGCTTGGAGTCGACGATCCTCGGCGCCCACGAAGCGCCGATCGCGTCGACCGTCTTCTTCCCCAACGAGCCGCTCTTGCTGACGTCGGCCGGCGACAATGCGCTCAAGATTTGGATTTTCGACGAGCTCGAGGCGCGGGGCCGCCTTCTCAAGTCGCGCTCCGGCCACAAGGCGCCGCCGACCAAGATCCGGTACTACGGCAACGACGTCGTCCAAAAGACGGACGGTACCGTGTGCCAGATCCTCTCGGCGGGCCAGGACCGCGCGTTCCGGCTCTTCCACACGGCGCGCGAGCAGCAAAGCACCGAGCTCTCGCAAGGCCCGCTGCACAAGAAGCAGCGCCTCCACAGCTCGGACGAGCGCAAGTTGCCGCCGATTCTGCAGTTCGCGGCCATGGAGACGCGCGAGAAGGACTGGAGCAACGTGGTCACGTGCCACGAATCCGAGGTGCCAGCGTATGTCTGGACGCTCGAGCGCAAGGCCATGGGCAAGAAGGTGCTGCAGCAGGTCGAGGGCCATACGACGCCGGGCTCGATCGAGCACCAGCGGCGCCTCGACTCCAAGGCGACCGCCGTCGCGATCAGTTCGTGCGGCAACTTTGCGCTCGTCGGGTCGGTCGGCGGCGCCATCTTCAAGTACAACTTGCAGTCGGGCGAGAAGCGCGGGTCGTTCCCGACGGCCGCGACGCCCAAGGCCAAGCTCATCCGCGCGCTGACGATGCCCGGTGCGTCGTACAAATCCGCGCCCGACAACTCGATGGCCGACAAGCACAGCGGGTCGGTCACCGGCGTCGTTGTCGATGCCCGGAACGTGCTTGTGATCTCGAGCAGCATGGACCATTCGCTCAAGTTTTGGGACTTTTACACGCACGCGTGCATCGCGAGCATGGACCTCGGGTCACCGATCACACACCTCGCGCTGCACAAGGACAACAACTTGATCGTGGCGGCGTGCGACGACTTTGTCTTGCGCGTCATCGACATCACGACGCGCAAGCTCGTCCGTCGTTTCCACGGCCACACGCACTGGATCACGGACGTATGCTTCTCGCCGGACGCGCGCTGGCTTCTCTCGTCGTCCTCGGACGGCTCAGTGCGCGTCTGGGACCTCCCGACCGGCAAGTGCATCGACTTTGTCAAGTTCAAGCACGCCGTCACGAGCGTGACCATGTCGCCGACGGGCGAGTTCATCGCGACGACCCACGTCGGCCAGCTCGGGCTCTTCCTCTGGGCCAACCGCGCCTACTTTGAGACCGTCTTTGTCGACTCGGAGCCGTCGTCGCCCGTCCTCATGGGCATGCCCGTGCCGCTCAGCGAGGTCGACGTGCCGCTGGAGACGCAGGTCGTGATTGCCGCCAACGAGGTCCATGAAGTCGCAGCGGAGGCGCCGGCGTACGTTTCGCCGTTGGATGCCACAACCAGCTCGTTTGTGCGCCTCTCGACGGCGCCCAAGGCCATGTGGCAGTCGCTCTTCCAGCTCGAGCTCATCAAGGCCCGCAACAAGCCCGTGGAAGCGCCCAAGGCGCCCGAGAAGGCACCGTTCTTCCTCCCGACCGTGCGCAAGGACGATGTGCACCCGACGTTCGAAGCCGTCGATGCCAAGAAGACCAAGCCGCAAGCCAAGAAGCCGGAAGAGGCCAAGAAGCCGGAAGAGGACGTGGTCATGGAAGGCTGGGGCGATGGCGACGACGTGGCGTGGGGCGATGACGACGACGACGACGAGGTCGCGGCGCCGACGTCTCGCATCGGCAAGTCGACGGGTCTCACGACGTCGCGCTCCAAGCTCGCGTCGCTCTTGCTGCAGGGCGCGGCGACGGCGCCGCAGCTCGGCGGGAAGGGTCAGTTTGCGCTCGTGGTCGCGTACCTGCAGGGTCTCTCGGCGTCGGGCGTGGACGTGGAGCTGAGCACGCTCTGCATGGGCGACTTTGACGTCGAGGGCAAGGGCCACCTGAAGCTCTTCCTCGACTGCATGCTCGAGATGCTCGAGGGCCGGCAAGAGTTCCAGGTCGTCCAGGTGTACCTCAACCGGTTCCTCAAGGTCCACGAAGACATTCTGGTGACGGACGCGGACCTCCTTGCGCACGTGGCTGAGGTGCACGCGATCCAGCAGGAAGGGTGGGAGCACCTCCAGCGCCTCCTCCACAACAACTTGTGCTTGGTACAGTACTTTGCCAAGATGCAAATGTAGACCACCTAATCTAACCCGAATCTTATGTACTTGTTCATATACTTTTTCGACTTATCTTTTCAGTCGGCCGATCATCGGCCACTCCGTCCTCGGAGGGTTAAACGATTTCCTCCGCATCAGTGTATCCCTGCAAGTGATGTCGGCAGGGTACAAGACACTTGGTACGTACTTTCGCACCTCGTCCGCCTCGTAACCCTTTGAATTTGGAGGGTTGGAGGTTTGGAGGTTAGAACATGCCTACGCGGCTCGCCATTGTGAGTTCTGACGCGGTTCCGTTGGGCCTTGGCTACTCCTCGTGCTACTACATGGTTGCGTCGCGGCGCGGACGCTTGCGCGGTGGTATCTCGTCGTCCTGGACCTCGTCCGGCGCGCCCGGGAGCTCGGATTCCAGTGCATTCAACATTGCCAGGCGCTCGGTGCTTTGCTGGAAGTGTGCCAGCTTCTCCACATGCCGCTTCAGGTCCGCTGGCGTCGGGTAGCCTCGAGGCAACACCTTGTGAATCCGTGTGCACCCGTCGTCGTCCCGCTTCTCCAGCCGGTTCGTTTTCGCTTTGAGCAGCGAGAGGACGCGGCGGCAGATGCGGCCCCACATCGTCGTCGCCGCTGTGGTCCCATCGCTTAGAAACTCGTCGAACGCCATGCAGCAATCGCAGTGCGCAGGGTCCAGCGCAACATTGCCAAATACATAGCAGTCGGGCAGGGGCGGGACCGGATCCAGCGACCCGTTCTGAAGTATGGCGGCCCGGCACACGTGCACGAGGTACAGCAGCACGTCGGGGCAGTCGCAATTGGTTTGGAGCCGAGCAATCACTGCGTAGACCTCGTCGTTGTTGGCGACGGCTCGCCACGCCTGTACAAACGCCATCACATCCTCGCCCGGTGCAAGCAGCCCCAGCGCGACGATCAAGTCGACGGTGGCTTTCGCTTTCGGAAGCGTAGCTTGCAGGAGCATCTGCGCCCGCGAAGCAAGAAAGCGAGACAAGACGGCGCGCAAGGTCGAGTCGAGCGGGGATCCTTGCTGCTGCTTGAGAAACCATAGGATACCCCCCACGGTATACTCGCCACTGAGCGCGGCGAGGTCGTCGAGGAGGGCGGCGTCGCACGGCCGGGTCGAGAGTAGAATCTGCAAGAGACTGCCGCACTCGACCGGGCGCAGACGTTCGTACTTTGCCAGCGGTACGCGCGTGGCGAGTGCCAAAGCCATGTCCGCGAGAATGGCCTCCTGGTAGCGCGGTGCAGACGGCAGCGTCGGGTGGCTTTGGAGCGCGAGAACGAGCGAGACACAGTGGCTCTTGAGTCGGCGCAGGACGCCGACGCGAGTGTTGGCCTCGAGCAAGGTGCACGTGCCATGGCGGCGCTTGTAGAGAAAGGCGTCGACGTGACGGCGCAGCGAGACCGGAAGCTTTGGACGCAGCCAGTGCTTCGTCTCGTCGTCGTCCACGTACGCGTCGAGGAGGAGGCGATACTCGTTGAGCGCGTTGCTGTTGTACCGGTGGTGAGAACTGGGCATCGCGTCCCAGAGCGCTTTGATGCACTCGAAGACGAAGGGCTGGCGCAGCGGAGGGCAGACGGCAGCCTTGGGCTCTGTGATCCCAGCGAGACTTGCGAGCAGTTGGCAGGTCGGTCCTGATTGTTTCCAGTGGCTACTCCACCGCTGGACGAGGCTGAGCATCGCTGGCTGGAGCGCCGGCCAGCCAAACGCGCGCAAACACGATGCAATCCCAGGCGCGACGTCTTCAATCGACGCATCGTCCGAGACAAAGACGGCGTCCGACAGGAAGAGCGACGCGAGGTCGACCTCACCCAGGGCGACCAAGACGCTGCAAAAGCCGCGTATGTCGGGTCCCGTCGGCACCACCTCGTGTGAGTACCTTAACGGTACGAGCTTGAAGATGGCAATGATACTCAGCGCAAGATCGCGAGCACTCGGGGCGCCCAGCAGCGTTTCCCCCGCTTCGAACGAGCGCAGCGCCGCTGGGATGCCAGCAATGCCGGCGCGGAATCGCTTGGGCCAAAACAAGAGCGCTGTCGGGGGGCAATGAATCGAGACGTGATAGGATACCTCTTCGAGCGGGGTCGGGTCCTTGATGAACGCATGGGCTCCCTTCCCAAGAAGACCGTCGATTACGCTGGGGGGCATTTGACACGCGGGGTGGGGCACGGCAGAGGCGACGCGGTTGCGGTGCTCTTTCCGGTCGTTGCGGCTTGTTTTGAAGCGGATCAACGCCACGTCAAAGCTATGGGAGGCGACGAGGTGGTCGACCAGCGCTCTCTCTGCGCGCGTGAGGTTCTCGAACGCAAAGGCTTTGTTTTTGGAGACGGTGCGAACGCGGTATGCAATGCGCTGGCAGCGCGGGAACGGCGCCTTCGCAATCGCAGTCAGATCGGATAGAATGCGCGATCGATCGAGAGCGACGACGGGAGGGCGGCCGCGGCCGCGGAGGCCTCGCCCAACCAAGTGAAAAACGAGCGCCAACCGGCTGCCCGATGCAATGGGCGCCGATGAGATCGATGTGCCGTGATACGTGGCCGCCACTTCATAGGACGACAGGTGCGTCTTGAAGCTCTTCGAGAGACCGTTGTGGGCAAACGTCAATGCGCCACCAGCGTGGTGGTGCGGCAAGAGGAGAAGCAGCAAGCCAAACGACCCCGGCACGTCGTCGGGAACGGGCCGAAGCGCGTTAGCGTCGCCAGTTGCGTCAACGCAGAGGTGCGAGAGGACGACGTCGACGTCCATCGTGGTGATGGCCAGTGCCACTTCGGCGGGGCGCAGAATGGTCTTTCGCATCGCGCCCATCCACTCGGCCTCGTTGAGAAACTCGAGCTTCGCGGCGGGAATCCGGCCCCTGTCCTTGGCCAAGGCGGCGAGTCGAGTCACATCGGCCGAGGTCAGCGGCCGCGGCAGGTCGACGCCGTCGACGCGAAGCAAAGGCGCGATGCCAAGCCCTGAGTTGCTTTTGTAGATGTACTTGGTGGATGGCTCGATGCTATCGATCGCCGCTTCGTACGCTGCGATCGCTTGGTTCACGCTGTGGGCCAACAACTGCATGAAAGAAAATGGTTTTAGTTCGTCAGCGTAACAGAAACGCCGGTATTCCGGTTTTGACTCGTGGACCGCTGGGACTAGGTAGTATGAAGAGGACACATTGAACGTCAATTCATTTGGAGCACAATCTCTTGAGAGCATGACCCGATAGAACGACCTCATGGGTATCGTAGACGGATGCGCAGCCTCGTTACGGGTCGGTTGAAGCGGATGTCGAAGCTGCGCTCTCTATGGTTTCCGGGCGTGGGCCACCGAAAAGCCTCGAGTTGGCGATAGCTTGTCGTCGCGTTCACATGGCGCCGCTTGGCCAACGCCGCGTGGGCGATCCGGATGCGCCCCGGTTGCTGCACTTTGCGTAAACTCCTTTTGTGCGCCGTCTGCTTCGCGTAGCGCAGTCGCGTCGGGTGGGCGGCCGCGACCGCGCGCACTCGCAAGCACGCGCGACGATCGAACGTCAGTCGGAGTCGCGTTCCGTCGCTGAGGAAGTGCCACACCTCGTTGCAGTCGGCGCAGTGCCGGGGGTCGAACGGGATGTCGACGAGGTCGCCGTCACGCATGCCTGGCACGGGCAGCAGCAAGCCGCCACGGACGTACGCCTCTCGGCACACGGCCGCGAGCGCCACTAGCACTCCGCGCAAGTCGACATCCGCTTGTGGCCATAGCTGCTCCAGGACGGTGCCCACCGTCGAAGCAGCGCATACAGCGACAACTTGTCGGGCTTGGCACCGTTGGAGAGACCGGCGAGGTGCGACACCAAGCCTAAGACGTGGCTCCGCTGCGTTGAGCTGCGGAGCCAGCGCCGCAAGAGGCCTCGGATCGCAGACGAGAGCGGTTGCCAGCCAAATTTCGTCACACATGTGCGGACGCAGACGACGGCGTCGGTGAGCGCGATGCGGCGGCAATGCACTCCTGTCGGCGAGACGGAGAGCGCGGCGCTGAGAAAGTACGCAGCGACTTCGTCGTCGTTGGAGGCGCAGAGCACGTCGCCCATGGCGGCTGCATGGCCGTCGCGCGCGGTACCAGCCCGCTCGTCGCTAAAGGCGAGAGAGGCGATGGAGTGGAAGATAGCCATGGTCCCAAAGACGAGTTCCCGGGCACTCGAGAGCCCCAGCGGGTGCATCGTCCGGCGAAACAAGACAGCCTCGCGAAGGAGGGCCATGGAGGTCTTCATACCGACGATGCCGGCTCGGAATCGCTTGGGCCAGAAGAGCAGCGCCATCTCCGAGGGAGCACTGACGGGCACGAGCTCATCATGGCCGCTCTCGCAGAGGAAGGTGTGGGCTGAGACGCCGACGAGCCGCTTGGCTACCAAATCCGGCACGTTGCACGACGGATGGAACTCGAACGCGGCGACGTGGTTGTCGACGTCGGCTCTGTCCTCGCCGCTGCTAGGGTCGTCGGGCTCGCTAGTCGCCGGATATGAGAGCCGCACTATCGCTGACAGTCGGACCACCTGTCGTAGCGTGCCGATTTCGTCAAGAACCGAACGACGGCGATGTCAAAGGCATCCGAGGCCACGAGAATGTTGACGAGGTGCTTGTGCCGAGGTCGCAGGCGCGGAAACAAAGAGTCTGCGTAAGGATCGCCAACGTCGCTTGGCGCCGGGCAGAGGTACGCGAGGCTGCACGCGATGCGGTGGCACTCTGGCAGCAGGCGCGCGGCGAGGACCGCCACCTTGGCGGCCGCACCGGTTCGGTTCAGCGGCAGTCGCGACGGCCCTCGCTCTGGTTCGTGGACCCCTGTTAAGTCGAAAACGAGTGCAAGGCGGCGTCCGGACGTGATGGGCGTCGACTTGATCGTGGTGTTGATACAGACACCGTCGAACCCTCTCGGTCGCTCGGCCGCGTTCTGCGGCAGCGTGATTGCGTGCTCGTGGCGCTGGAACGTGAGGACGCCACCCGTGTGGTCGGACGGCAGCAGCACGATCAGTGTCCCGAACGCATCGGCAATGCAGCCTGTGGAGGCCCGGAGGCCGTCAATGGACCCGACGGCGTCCATGCAGAGGTGCGACAAGACGGCGCCGACGTTCGAGGCGCGAATACCGAGCGTCAACAGAAGCTTGTGCACGACATTTTGGACAAGGGCTTCTTCCAACGCGCTCTGATTGGCGATGTGGATGTCGGCGGCGGGCACGACACTGGCCTTGCCGTACTGCGCGCTGAGCTGGCCGTGCTGGGTACGCGATACAGGCCACGACAACGCGTCCGGAAGTCCCTCCAAGCTTACGACCGGCAGCGGTGAGATGCCTTGGGTGCCCGTGCAGATATACAACGGCGGTGCTCTGGGCTGCTCCAAGATGGCCTCGCACGCTGACACGAGACTGTTCATGGAGTTCATGGCGCGCGTCCTGCGTGACGATGTTGGTTTGATTGGCCACGAGAATTATATTTCCGTCGACGCCCCATTCTATGCATATTTGTATGCAATACAATAAAACGAGCAAAGTGTCCAGTGGTCGATGTGGTTGCGCGGTGGAGTTGGTTCGACGTGCGAACGTTATTAATAGTCTTCTGGTCGATATTGTCATTAAATTAACACACCAGCACGCTGATGCACATGCTACCATCAGCACTGGGTTCGATACTCGGCGGGATCGTGTCTTTTCGACTTGCTTGTTGTCGGCGTCGGTGCTACTACCCGGCAGTTGTACTGGTTCGCACTTGTCCGTCACTGGTGTATCAAGACACGACAAAATGGACAAAGGCCCTCCATGCTCAGAGGTCCCCTCTGCGTTTCAAGCTGTTTGGCTGTTCAGAGTCGGCGGCTAGACAAAGTTGCTCGTGGGACTCGGATGCGTGGGACTCGGATGCGAGGCCAATGGAAGATGCATGCAGCGTTCTTGCTGGCATTGCAAGTCATCCGCAGACTTGGCGCGATCATCATTCGCGCTGGGCTCTCGTGCTGCCAGCTCATCGCGCACCTGCGTTCGATTCGGTTGACGCTGGGCACACCCAACTTTTGGCCTCGGATTTAAATGGCTCGGCATACAAATCCCAAGCTATTAAAATACGTTGCAGTGGCCATGTGCAAAACGGCCGCCGTCTAAAAATACTCGGAGGAAATGCATAATAAAAATACCCAAATTCAATGTTGTATACAAATACCAAGTGAAACTGTGCGAATTCAAAAGCAACCGGGTCCGGGACCCCAGAAAAAAGAGTGGCTGGCAGCTTTGGGAAGCGAGTGGCTTGGCTTCAGTCGACGAAATTCCCACTTCCAGTACGAACCCCAAGATGAGTGACATCAGCGAGCACGATGCGGCCGAGATCAAGGCCGACGCCCCGGTCATCGAGGACTGCAGCAACACGGACGTCGTGACCAAGTACCGCCTTGCCGCCGAGATCGCGCAGTCGGCGCTCGAGGGCGTCATCGGCCAGCTCGCGCCCGGCAAGAGCGTCGTCGAGCTCTGCGCCTTCGGCGATGCCATCATCACGGCCCGCGCCGCGACCGTCTACAAGTCCAAGAAGGTCGAGAAGGGCATTGCCTTCCCGACGTGCGTGAGCGTCAACGAGGTCGTGTGCCACTTTTCGCCGCTCCCGAACGAGACGACCACGATCAAGGCCGGCGACTGGGTCAAGATCGACTTGGGCTGCCACATTGACGGCTACATCGCCGTCGTCGCGCACACCGTCATTGTGCCCGCCACCGAGGGCGACGACCTCATCGTCATTGGCTCGCAGGCCGATGTGCTCAAGTGCGCCCAGGACGCGCTTGAGCTCTGCGCCCGCTTGATCAAGCCCGGCAACACGAACCACCAGGTCACGGATGCCCTCGAGGCGCTCGCCGAGTCGTACGGCGTCAAGAGCCTCCACGGCACGCTCATGCACCAGATGAAGCGCTTCGTCATTGACGGCAGCAAGACGATCGCCCAGAAGCACGATCATGAGGCCAAGACGGCCAAGGTCACGTTCGAGGCCAACGAAGTCTACGCCATCGACGTTGCCTTCACGACGGGCCTCGACAAGGCCGTCGCCTCGGAGCGCCGCACGACGGTCTTCAAGCGCCAGGTCGACAAGAGCTACCGCCTCAAGATGAAGGCGTCGCGCTATGTCTTTAGCGAGATCAACTCGAAGTTCCCGACGCTTCCGTTCACGATTCGCGCCTTTGAGGACGAGTCGCAGTCGCGCATGGGTGTCGTCGAGTGCGTCAAGCACGACCTCCTCACGCCCTTCCCGATCCTCGAGGGCCGCGAGGGCGACCACATCGCCCACCTCAAGGCGACGGTGCTCCTCATGCCCAACGGCACGACCAAGATCACGGGCCTCAGCCTCCCGCTCGAGCGCATCAACTCGGAGAAGACGGTCACGCCCGAGATTGCCGCGATCCTCTCGTCGTCGCTCAAGAAGAAGTCGAAGAAGAAGAAGGCGGCCAAGTCGGCCGGCGCCGCCAAGGAAGTCGAGCACGACCTCGAATAAATCAATCTTTCAGCAGCAACTCACATTTCTGCGTGATACGGCGTAGGTAGTAATCTAAACAAACACGAACGACATCAACCGTCCACATCTGGAGTATCAATCTATCAACCTAAATCGATACTAGTACAAACTAAGATCTTGAAGCGGCATGGCGCCGGGGGCCGAGGAAGCGCAGCACTTTGCCGGTCCGTTCCTGCTGCTGGAGCGTCCGCTGCTCGACGGTCGGTGCGTGTACTGCAGCGCGCCGACGACGGCAGCAAACTGCGCCGTGTGCAGTCGTCCAGTCGACGTTCCCTGGCTCACGACGGCGTCGGTGACGGTACTTGGCAGCTCGCGGCCAGGCATCACGACGATGGCATCGCCTGCGTAGATCCGCTTGGGCTCGCGCCTTCAGCTGTCGACGCCGCCAACGCCGCTCGAGGTTCCGAGCAATCTGCCTCTACACTGCGCCGCAGCTCGTATGGTAGGGAGTCGTCGTGGCGGTTGATGTTTATGCCAAGTACATCGAGCTGCTGACGGGCGTCCAAAGCCAGCCCCTTGTGCAGTGGAAGCTCCAGCGGCTGCGCGCGTCCGTCTTGCCCAGTGTCGAGGTGCTGTCTCCCGAGAGCCCGTGGCACGCGATCCTCGATAGCTACGGCTTTTGCGGCGACTGCCGGTCGCCATACCGCATCGGCAATGCGGGCCAGCTCCGCGATTCGAGCGCTGTACCTGACGAGCAGCGAGGTGTATGGCAACCAACCTGTACATCGCGTAGGAGCACAGCGTACGCGCCAACGTGGCCAAGAAGGAGCGACTGCGCTTCTATGAAGCGCAGAGGCAGGCGCTTCTTGAGCGCAAGGCGGCGGCGCGCGCGGCCCACGCGCCGTCCCGGACACTCGTCGAGCTTTCGGCCAAGCTCCGTGACGAAGCGATCAACATCCTACGCGCCAAGCGAGACCTCGAGCCGGTCCAAGTGGCATGTCCTCACTGCGGCTGGACACCGCTACCAAGCGCAGGGCCACGCCCAGGAGCTGCCACCCACGGGTGACAGAGCGCACGTTGGCATTGACTTGGTGTCTTCACCCGGCCACCACTCCTAGTCCTCGCTTGCTACAAGAAACTCATGGTTATATTACTGACGATATTGTACTGCAGTGTGGACACTCGGAAAGGCAGCTCAAAGCTGCGCGTCAGTCCTATCGTCACGACCTCGACCGCTGCCGCAGCAAAGCGCGTTCGACTGCTCGGATGATTTCATCCATTGCAGTCTCTGTGCTCATCGCCGCAAGCGCTGGTGGTGTTCCAACACTGGACGGGTTCGTCCAGAACCACGTGGGGAGTGGCCTGTGGGGCGGTCGAGGCGTCGAGCTACAGTTGTTTCTTGGTAGTACAGTCGTAGCTGTTGGTAGTGCATAGGCGTCCGTCGATCCAGGGCAGGTCGGTCCTCGCAGCGCGGCTGTAGAAAGCGGTGATGGTCGAGGCAGGTCGGATGGCAAATGGCAAATGAAGTCTTCGCGTGGAATGCTATCGAGTGTAAAATCCATCGAGCGACCCTTTCTACTCCCTCAACTCGAACTCGTTTCTTGTATACCGAGTGTAGAAGATGAGAAACAAACTAAGCTTACCTGTCGGTAGAAGCCATTATGATTTCGCTTCGCATTGAAAACACCACTGCAGGAATCGAGCGCTCAGATTCCGGGGTCGCTGTCGCTAAATGTGGCACCTTGCTGTTTTATACGTGGCATATGCCGCAGTACATCTTGGACAACGCATAATGTCCGTTGGAAGCCTCGCATGCCCACGAAAAGTAGCATTTCAGGACCCCCAAAGTGGCCTCTATCACTCTGCCACGTTGGAGCGATTTCATTTTCCAACTCGATTCGGCGACCGGAGCGGCTCGGCGGCGGCGGTGGGGTTTGAGAACCTCTCCAACATAATATATTCGGTCGAAGATATGTGTTATGAGAGGTTTCTCGCTCCAGCTTCCAAATATCTTTTTGCGACGATGGACCAGGCGGACCTCAAGGCGCCGCTCTACGACGCCATGGATGCGGACCGCAAGCCGGCGGTCTGCGCGACGCCCGTCGGCTTCTGGCGCAGGTAGCAGCATGCCATGGCATGCGGCGAGGCTCATGCGCGCGTAGCCTCATGAGCTGGGACGCGCACACGCTGCTGCGGGTACGATGATGACGGCTATGGCCGACGAGCGCTCATGCTGCGGCTAGTACATGCGCTACCTCAACGTCATGCTGGCGCTCTTCCAGGCGCTCGCCGGGTTCTTTGGCCTCTTTGACTTGGCAATGCTCAACATTACGAGCTTCCTCATCGCCGTCTATGTCATGTACGTTTGTCCTGCCACGATGTGCATACCTGCATGCGCCTCTGGTAGCATCTTTGCGCTGCTGCTCTTGGCGTTCGAGTGCCGGTTCTCATCCATGGAGCCGTCGATTCGCCGCCAGTTTGGCTTTCTCTTTACGTACCGCGGGCGCACGGCCTTCATCTTCTTGTACGCTCCAGAGCCTCTAGTCGCCACGAACTCATGAGGCGTTGTAGCGTCGGTTTTATGGACTTTGGCATGGCCGACGCCATGGCCAAGATCGCGGGCGTTCTCATGTGCCTCAACGCGGTGCTCAACCTCATCGTCATTACCATGCACCCGGCCTTTCGCAGCGGCAGCCTTCGCGCCGACATGGACCCGACCGTCGGGTACACAGCCGGCGAGCAAGTACGTTCTTCGATCGACTTGCACTTGCGACAAGAACCGTGTAGGAAGCGGCTCAAGTCTTTGCCAAGAACGCGCACTTGGCAGCGCAAGCAGGCACATACGCGTTCGCACACGTGTCGCCCGAGGTCGCGACGCAGGTAATGCCTTGTGTCCAACCTGCCATTGCGCCTTACGCGCCGAGAGTAGATCGTCCAGCAGGCCGCGGCGCAGCAAGCCAACAATGGCAGCTACGTGCCGCCGCGCCAGAGCTAGATATCTGCAGACATCTTGTAAAGAACTCGCGGTGTGTCCCGATGATCCGCTTACTTGGAGACGAACGGGAGGCAGTTATCGTCGTCGCAAGTGGAGCGTGCAACCAGAAAGGAGTCGCCTGAGACGGCGACGGAGCGCAGAACACATCACGTGCATCATGCATGCAGGAGCCCACGTCGACACTGGATCGGTCTCTTTGAGTGTGTCGAACGGGCATCTCCTGCCCTCACGCAAGCATACTTTAGCGTCTTTAAGACAACTTGTACACCTCGCTCGACGACGACGGTCATCGTGAGCAAGTGTCCATCGCTAGCCGTCGAAACGATCCAAAAGACTTGGCGATGGAGATGACTACTGCTCGCTACCAGAGGAAGTACACGGGCGCACACCAACCAGGTCTTCATCTTGGCACCAATATTGTCTTCTTGGCGCCAACATTGTCATCATCTCGGCAAAACGGCCCATCAAACCAAAGAAAGAGAGCCGAGGACGACGAAGACACAAATGACATTGGTATAGTAGGGCTAGGGTCCAAACATGAGTTCGGTCGGGCGGTACGTAAAGTCGGCGACGCGCTCGGCTTCGCGGTCGACCTCGTCCAGCATGCGCCACTCGGGCGTGTCGACCGGCACTTCCGT